CCAGGAAACACCGAAGGCAGTGTGTTAGAGCGTGACATGTTGCCTCGGGGCGGGGGCATTTTAGGGTACTCTCCCAGTAAAGTTGCCGAAGTCGGTGCCTTGGAGCTGGATGCATTGCTGTCCTTGGACGGACTTCCCCCGAGAAGGCTGGAGAGCAATTTTGAGGGCGAAGGGGGGCGGAAGCCACGGGGAACCTTAAACTGAGCCATGAGGTGGCCGGCAAGGTACCGAAGAATGTCAAAGTTGGAATGTACGATCGACTCCGTCATCGTCCGATTTCGAGGCCCATGAAGAGGGAGGAGCACATTTAGCACTGCCAGAGTCAGTATTCATATCAGTATCGGTCAATTGGCGAGTACTTACAGCGCTTGGAGAGCACGGGCACGAAACTATCCACGGTGACCATGTCTGAGGAGGCAGTGCCGACCACGGAATCAACATCTACCCGGTATTGGTCTTCATTGGCCAGAGACACGGATACTATCACCTCCAAGTCGGAATCTTTCAACTTTTGGCTGCACGCCGCCCTAGGAGTATCGAAAATCACCCGGATCTTCGACAGATTGGCTCTCTGCGCGGCCTCTTCCGGCGCTTCTTCGAACACACATGCGAGGATCCCCAGATTACCAACTGTACCGGTGGGACTGCGCAGCGACCACTTGCCACTTTCACGCTCGGTTTCAGAGAATCGGCCCTCGATCTTGGCCTTCGCAATCTCCTCTATGATTCGGCTCGCACGGCCTTCGTACATGGACACCGGCTCGAGTGCAAGCAGGTCCACTGTCGTGTTCTGGTCGGGCCTTGAGGTGGCGGATGCCGGGGCCAAGAACAAAATCCGGCCACACGTGGACTGCGTACATCGCACAGTGTGTAAGTCGTATACTTGCACCACTCGGAGTTCGGATGAGGCGGGCGAATTGGGTGCAGTATTGGTTGCCGCAGCGGCGTTATCCAGATCGGCCAAGAGACCACGCGCTGTGGTCTTCGCACCCACTGGCTTCGATAGTAACACCAGACAGTTCTTGTAAATCAGCATAATGCCCGCGCTGGGCTCGGTGGGTGGGACATCGAGATGATAGGGCGGGGTTAGCTCGTTGAAATCCACGGCGGTGATCAGGCGGCCGGTCGGTAGAATTGTAGAGGGCCATCCGTCCACCAGCTCTTTCAACCGTCGGAAGCTCTGGTCGTGATTCGTTGACGAAGCGTCATCCAGCGAGCAAATGTCCTTAATAACATCGCGCGCTTTCAGTAGTGGTCGGACGGCCGGGTGAACAAGAGGGAGACTGCCGGTCATAGTGTCGATCAGGAGACTATAGCGAGGAAGACGTTGCACCGGCTCCATGAGGAGGGAGCGCAGCTTCTGCTCTCCGGTTTCATAGACGCGCTTCGAAAAGCTCGAGTGCTTGTCTCTCATGAATGAATTGAGCGTCTGCGTGAAGCCGGTATGAGCCCGCATATAATCGGCGTACGGCTGGGAAAATCGGGGAAACCAGTCTAGAAGCGCATTGGCAAAGGCCACCGCGCCAATCGCATCCGTTTCCTCCCGCGAGAAAGACCGTTGCGACACCGACCCCGGCAGTTCTGTATCATCGGCGAGGTCGTCAATGGCTTCTTTTTCCGTCTCCTCGAGAACCTGTCGAATCACCCCTAGGAAACCCATGTTGACCTCAAGAATCTCATTCAAGCATGGTGGAAAGAGCGTGGCCAGATCGGACTCATTGGGGCTGGTGCTGGATGGGCCTCTGGCTTGGGCCTTTAACCGGAACTCCTCCGCCACATGACACACCAAGGTGTAGAGCTTGTTCACATATCTCTCCTCCGTGTCCACCACTTCGCACATGGTCAAGCGCAGAGCTTGTTTCTGGCCCTTCGAGAAGAGCCGGGACTTGCTCAGGTTGGTCGGTTGCGACGGGGCGCGCTTCAGTCGGGAAGTGGGTAGGAACATGGGCGCTCCGAGGGATCGTACCAGAGACGTATAGCGTCCGTATTGAAGATCGGGGGCATCGTACAAATCCGCATTACCATCATGAACATCATCATCATTATTGGGCGGGGCAGGAGGCTGGATGACACCGGCGGGGAGGACCACATCGATATCCACCCAGGGAACCTTGCGCTCTTGGAAAGCGCCACGAATGTCGCGCACAATGTCGGCGGTCTGTTCTATTTTCGTCATGCGATTTGCTATTTCCGCCGCGTGCATTTCATCGAAGAGCTTAGGCAGTCGGAGCCCCGGTTTCCCGGCGCGGGCGAAGGTCTGCAGGCACTCCTTGGCGGGGTCCGACAGCTCTGCGAAGTACTTCAGCATACTGACGGCGAGACCACGACTGACTTCATCGCCTTGCTTTTCTCGGGGCAAGTGGTTGACCGCAGCGTACAAGGGGGCGGCGGGGGAGACAGTGATGCGCGGGTAGCTTTGGAAGCCGGCGGGGGTGAGGATATGCGCCTGAATGCGCGAACTGCTGACGGTGGCATTTGCAGTTGCGACGGGACCGTAGAAGATGAAGATGGACGATAAATAGGGATCGGAGGCATGGTATAAGGAAAGCTGCTCCAGAGGCAGGTCCGATGGGGCGGTTGAGACCGTCGCCATGATGGCGGGCGGGGGAGAGGAAGGAAGGAAGGAAGGAAGGAAAGCTGAGTTATCGCATGCAACGAAAGCGTGGGAAATGGCCGACCGATTAAGTGGCGGGGGTGTTGGATGGAAAGAGCGATCAAGGATTAGTTGCACTAGTAGATAGCCAATAGGTGGGACAGATTATTTAGGGAAAGGCCAATCTTAATGTCAATCAGAAACCGAGAACGATAAGAGAAGAGCTAAGCAAGTAGCAGGAAATAGGAAATAAAAAATAGGCAGAGTTAGTGATCACTGATCCGCGATCAGTGATGCCCAACCACAAAAGAACCGGATGGGCAGGTCCCAGGGAGGGGATTAAAATTAGTAGGAAAGGACTATGGCAAAAGAAGGTCGATGTAGTAGATGGACGAAGACATAATAGAGAAAAGCGGCGATGTCGCACAGTCAGTGGGCGTAACGAATGAGGGTCCTCATACAGCGGAAGGGGAAAGAGAAGGAAACCCCTCCATGGGAGGAACTGGTGAGGAGTGATAAGAAGAAGAAGAAGAAGAGTGAGTGAGTGAGTTGGGGAAGAGAAAGGCGGAGGAGGAGAAGGGAAGAAGAGGAGAAAGAGAAAGTCAAGCAGCGGCGGTGATGGCGATGAGTTAATCAATCAATGGATCGATCGGGATCGTAAGACGCGTTTCTGAGGGGAAGGGCCCAGACACACAGACACTGACAAACTGAGATGGGGGGGAGAGAGAGAGAGAGACGAGAGACACAGAGAGATCCAGGAATAAGCTCGTAAGTGTGTTTGTTTTCGTCTTTTGACAGCCAGGCGAGGGACTTGCAGGGGATGTGCAGCGTTGGACCGAGCGACTGGCGACTAAGTTGGTTGCTGATGGATTTAGTGCTGCTGCAGCCCTCCACGATGAGGGGAAGACAGAGAGAAGATCGGGTCTGGCCGGTTTTGGAGTGTGACGCGCCTTTTTCTCTTTTTCTTCTTTTTTTGTGTTTCGGACACGCGGGGGAGAGGATCTGGCAAACCCTTAATCTGGTTTAGTTTAGATCGGTGGCAGATCGACTATCCTCTTTCCTTCATTCACAGTGAATGATTTTATTTAAGAATGACAGATAGTACGGAGTATGACACTCTTAATTTGGGAAAGGAATGCTAATAGCTTATTTCCTACAGTACATACATGTACCCAAGTATACCATCTAAAAAAGGTCCGGTTTACTTCTAGTATTTTTTTCCCTCTTTCCCATCAACGCAAAATCGAAGAATCACACGCCGACACGTGTAGAAAGGGGGAAAGTGCGCCAGCTGTCAACAATTGTCCGGAAAAAGAAAGAAAGCCACGGGAAGATTCATGGAATGTCCACGAGAGGGTTACACCCGCTGCGAAGTGACTCAATTACTACCCAGGTAAGGGTGATTAGGGTGCATGCGTTGATCATCCTGAAGGGAACAAGCAGTTGTTCACTCTCTATTATCAGTCAGGTAACAAAAGCAATACTAACCAATTTGTTAAAAAAAAAAAATAAAAATGGAAAAAAGACCAAATGTGGGACCGGTACATAGCTGCTGCGGACTGCTAGATTGATAGATCGAGGCTACTGCTTCTCACTGGCCACACCGCCCATACCTTCAAAAATCATACAATCCCAACCATGGATCCTCACTATCCTTAAACCCAAGAAACCAAACAATCAATATCAATCAATTGTTCTTTATGGGTGTGGATCGGGAATACCCTCCCGTTCCTTTTTATATGTTCATGATGGAATTCTACTATGACCATCAGCTCTGCTCCTGAACAAATAATCAATTACAGGTTTAACTTTCTGAGGATCAAGCAAGGCATCCTCATGCAACCCCCGCAACTATCCCCAGCAAATTGCAATGGGAGAAGCAACCCTTGCAGATTTCCCCTCCCCAAGTGACAAGAGTTATAATAAGTAGTTACTGCAGCGACTGAGTCTTGGGTGCGTAGTAACCATGAGAATTTTTTATCTTTAGGTTGACGTATTTTGAAGGGAACTTAATGTCATAAATATATTACATCACCAGCCAAGACACTGATTATTTATTTTATAGGATATACCGATATGAAATATCTAGACACTAATGAATTGCATCGCATCTGCTGCAGTAATTCGACTGTTTGGCCGCCGGAGACGGATTCGGGCCTAAACCCCATCGGGCAGGGATAGAGAACCTCAGGCAGACTCTCCGCTCGCCGGAGCCCAAAGAAGACCAGCTGTTGTGTTCCTCCCGCTCGCCGAACTCAACTTGCCTCCTCCCCTCGGCTCCTCCAACTTCCTCTCCTCCTTCCCCCTCCCTCTCGCTGCTCTGTTCGAGTAGGGCCATGATTTGAATTGCCTCCCACTGTTCGGCGACTTTCTTTTGGCCGTTCCCTCTCCCTTCCTGCTCTTCATCATGTCGTCCACGCCTTTACCCATCGCGGTCGATCCGGTCGCGTTGGTCATTACGGAATGCATCACAGTCACCTCGGCCATGCGAAAACATGCCCGTTGGGCTCACTCGTCCGTCTCTGCCATCCTCGGCGGAGGTGCCGTCTCTCGTGTCTACGACCGAGATACATCGGCGCCCCCAAGCCCCCGCAATGGGTCTACGCCGCCCCGTCCACGATCGAGAATGTCCTCCGCCGATGAGGATCACGTCCTCGCGAACCGCTGGGGTCTCCGGGGCAAGAAGGGCAAGAGTATGCAAGACAACCCACTAATTTCTGCCTTTGCCAGGTTGCGGAGCGACCTCAAGGGCTGCAAAGATATCCGGTCCTTTGACGCTCCTGCCTTGCTTCACCCGTTCCTCCAGGTCATCCGATCCTCTTCCACCTCCGCCGCCATTACCTCCCTGGCCCTTGTCGCCCTGACCAAGTTCTTCGCCTACAACATCATTAGTTGCGATTCCCCCAGACTCCCCATGGCCATGCAACTCCTCTCGGCCGCCATTACCCATTGTCGCTTCGAAGCCAGTGATTCGGCCGCCGATGAGATCGTCTTGCTGCGGATCTTGAAATTGATGGAAGGGATGCTGTCTCGGCCCGAGGGCGAGCTGCTCGGAGACGAGAGTGTTTGTGAGATGATGGAAACCGGTCTGAGCATGTGTTGTCAGGTCCGCCTGTCGGAGGTGTTGCGGAGATCAGCCGAAATGGCCATGGTCAACATGTGCCAGGTCATTTTTATGCGCCTGTCGCACCTGGAAATCTCCAAGGACGACGAAACCGGATCCCAAGCTCCTTTGCGCACCGAGTCCGAGCAGACCAACTTGAAGATGGACCCGTCTGTCGACGGGAATACCGTGACCTCGCAACATCCATCCGCCATGGGTTCCGACACCGGGGTGACTGATCGAGATCGTAGCAGCCGCGACGGATCGCCCGAGCAGATGCTGAATGGGAGTGCCGTTGCCGCCCCACCAAACCCTCAGGACGACACCGGTGACGAAGTGAAGCCATACTCTTTACCGTCTATTCGTGAACTCTTCCGCGTCCTCATCGACCTGTTAGATCCGCACAACCGCCAACATACCGAGCCGATGAAGGTCATGGCATTAAGGATCATTGACGTTGCCCTGGAGGTCGCGGGTCCGTCTATTGCGAAACACCCAAGTCTCGCGACGCTGGCGCAAGACGACCTATGCCGGCACCTCTTCCAGCTGGTTCGATCAGAGAACATCGCAATCTTGACTGCGTCACTGAGGGTCGCCGGCACTCTGTTGCTAACTTGTCGGCCGGTCTTGAAGTTGCAGCAGGAGCTTTACCTGTCCTACCTAGTCGCATGTTTGCACCCGAAGGTCGAAATTCCGAAAGAGCCCGGCATCAATCCGGCCCTTTACGACGGTGTCCCGCAGGTGCCCAAGCTCGTGAAGCCGTCGCCATCGCAAACGAATAGTGGAAGATCCACGCCGGTTCCCGTTAAGGATAGACAACAGTTGGGTCTGGAAGGTGGGTCGCGGAGGCCGGAGACCCGGGAAGCCATGGTCGAGAGCATTGGCGTGCTGGCACGCATCCCGAGCTTCATGGTAGAGCTTTTCATCAACTACGACTGCGATGTCGATCGGGCCGACCTGTGCGAGGACATGGTCGGCTTGCTCTCACGTAGTGCGTTTCCGGATTCAGCTACGTGGAGCACGACCAACGTGCCTCCGCTGTGTCTGGACGCCCTACTTGGTTACGTTCAATTCATCTACGATCGACTTGACGACGAGCCGTCGCACGAGGGTTTCCCCTCCATCGAGCAGCTCCGGAGCCAGCGCAGAACGAAGAAGCTGATCATGCACGCCGCCCAGAAGTTCAACGAGGATCCCAAAGCTGGGATTGCTTATCTGGCATCCCACGGTATCATCGAAGACCCGAGTGATCCCGCCCTTGTGGCTCGTTTCTTGAAGGGGACGACTCGGTTGTCGAAGAAGATGCTGGGTGAATATTTGTCCAAGCGCAATAATGAAGAGCTGCTCGATGCCTTTGTCGAGCTGTTCGATTTCACTGGAAAGACCATCGTAGATGCCCTCCGGGATCTCCTGGGTGCTTTCCGTTTGCCTGGCGAATCACCCCTGATCGAACGTATCGTCACCACCTTCACCGAGAAATACATGCAAAAGGCCCAGCCCACTCAGATCGCCGACAAAGACGCTGCCTTTGTGCTAACGTACGCCATCATCATGCTTAATACAGAGCTCTACAACCCCAACATCAAGTCCCAAAATCGCATGTCATGTACCGATTTCTCCCGGAATCTGCGGGGCGTGAATTCAGGCCAGGATTTCGCACCTGAATTCTTGCAGGAGATCTACGATTCAATCAAACATAATGAGATTATTTTGCCGGATGAGCATGATAACCAGCACGCATTCGACTTTGCGTGGCGGGAGTTGTTGCTGAAATCCTCCTCTGCCGGAGAGTTGGTTGTTGGTGAAACCAACATCTATGACGCTGAGATGTTCGCCGCTACCTGGAAACCGGTGGTCGCGACTCTATCTTATGTCTTCATGTCTGCCTCGGATGACGCAGTTTACTCCCGGGTTGTCACTGGATTCGATCAGTGCGCCCAAATCGCTGCCCGTTATGGCTTAACCGACGCCTTCGACCGGATCGTCTTCTGTCTGTCCTCGATCAGTACCTTGGCTACCGAAAAGCCCCCCAGTACCGCTCTCAACACCGAAGTGCAGGCCGGTCAGAAGAGCGTGATGGTGAGCGAACTTGCGGTGAAATTCGGACGGGATTTCAGGGCTCAACTGGCCGCGGTGGTACTCTTCCGTGTGTTGGCTAGCAATGAAGCCGCAGTTCAGCAGGGCTGGACCTATGTGGCTCGAATCCTTAGCAACCTGTTCATTAATTCTCTCATTCCTGCGCTCGATTCCAATCTTACCGCTGAGCTTGATATTTCGCCAATTCCATTGCAGACTCCATCGCAAGTCGTGGACCGCGATGGACGGAATACGGAAACTGGGCTTCTATCTGCTTTCACGTCATACCTCTCCAGCTACGCAGCTGATGAGCCTCCGGAGCCGTCGGATGAAGAGCTGGAGAACACCTTGTGCACTGTGGACTGCATTACCGCTTGTTCTACAGCCGACATCCTGGCAAATATCAAGTGAGTAGTACCATTCGCGGTTCTTCATTACTCGTATCTCTAACCTGATTTCTAGGTCCCTTCCATTGGAGACGGTGACTTTGGTTGTAGAAGCGCTATTGGCCCAGATGCCCGAAGAAAGTGCTCCGGCAGTCATTGTCGTGAAGCCCGAACGACCTTCAGCTGGCTCAAGGGCGTCCAACGGCAGGACCGATGGCAGCAGGTCCAACTACGACCCAGGCATGATGTACCTCCTTGAACTAGCGACTATCCTGACCTTGCGGGACTCGCAAACCCTAGAGGCTCTCGGGGAGAGACTCCTGACCACATTACAAGCGTTCATTCGCGACGCGAGAAACATCCATTCTTTGGCCTTGTCCCGCATCATTCATTATCTGCTGAACCTGCTCCGGCTGAGCCACGTATGTCAGCTCCCTCCTTACGACCTTCTAGTACACTGACCAGCGTTTAGGATCAGCCTTTCATGAGGGTTCCTGTAATCTTGCACGGCATCTCTGGCTTTGACCAGGACATCTTGGAAAGTGTCGCCGTTACGATTGTGAAGAGCTTATCTCGCTGCATCTCGAGCCCCGGGCTTTTGCGGAACGAGATCACCGTCTCTCCTGATTTCTGGTCCATCTTGCAGAGACTGCTGCCTCACAAGGAAGCTGCTCCGCTTGTATTCGATCTGCTGCACTCCATCGTGGACTCAAATCCTCCCATAATCACTGCCGATAACTATGAGGCTGCCGTTGGCCTTGCGAACGACTTCACCAGCGCCGGTAGCGTAGGCTATATTGAAGAGCGTCAGCGTGACGCGCATGGAAGACGTGGCAAAGCTGTCAAGCCTTCAAAGCCGAGGTACGCCCTTATACTACTCACGCGTGTACAGACTTGGTAAAACTGACGATGCTGTAGTGAGAATGAGGTGGTTTCTCGTGGTGTGAAAGCCATCGGTTTCGTCCTGCAACTGACACGCCGTGTCCCGAGCCTAATCAAGCAGTCACACCTCGAGGAAAACGAAGGTTCGTCTAAGAGGATATCTATACATTCAAACTTGAAATAACCTATGTTCATAGCCTGGTCCGCCTACTGGTCTCCTATCTTCCAGTCCTTGACTGCACAATGCATCAACCCATGCAGAGATATCCGTCACCATGCCGTTTCAGCTCTCCAACGAACTCTCCTTTCTCTCGAAATCAACTCCACCGATGAGAAGGAATGGACAGCCATCTTCGACCAAGTTCTCTTCCCCCTTATCCTCCGGTTATTGAAGCCTGAAGTGTACCACTCCGATCCCTTGGGAATGGGTGAAACCCGCGTCCAAGTGGCCATCTTGGTGTGCAAAATCTTCCTGCGCTACCTCGACCAGCTTCCCCACCGCGACGGCATGCTCGATCTGTGGCTCAAGATCCTGGATATCCTCGACCGGATGATGAACAGTGGCCAAGGAGACAGCCTGGTACGTTGCCCTACGGCAACCCTGAACACAAACCCCAACACTAACCCCAAACAGGAAGAGGCGATTCCCGAGAGTCTCAAGAACATCCTCCTCGTCATGGCAGACGGAGGCTACCTGGTCCCTCCTTCCCAGGATCCCAGCAAGGAGCCCATCTGGACAGAGACCAAGAAACGCCTGGAACGATTCCTGCCTGATCTGTTCAAGGAAATCTTCCCCAATGCATCTGACGAGAAATCCGCCCCCGTCTCCGTGGCTCCCTCCCCTGCCCCGTCAACCCCAACTCCCCCTGCTGAACCCCAAGAGCAAGCCAGTACCAGCGCAGAAGAGCAGCCGGCCTCATCTGAAGCTCCCACCGAAGTCAAAGCAGAAGAAGAGGCCGAAGCACCGGCTACCAAAGAGGATTGATCACTCCAGTTACCTGAGACACGTCAGGGACTGACGGGCACTGTGATGATCAATTCTGTTCCCAATATTCACTTTTTTGTTACCCATTGTTTTCCATGTACCTCGGGCATTTTATAGCGTGGGTTTTATTTCGATTTCGGCTTTGCCACTTACCATCCATGTTTTGCAAAAATACCTACCTACCTACCTGTGTACCCTGTAAATATAATCAACTGCTCTTCATGAAGAAAGACCGTTTTGCCTTTATTTGGTTTGATACATTGACTAATCTACTGACGGGGACTGACCTATCCCCAAGCATGCATATTGCGTGTTTGTGTTTGTGTTTGTGTGGAAAGTTTGCGAGGTATAACTACCTACTTTAACTATAGAACCTGCTGTTAATTTCTCTCTTCTTTACGATAGTATTGATACAACTAGAACCATTCATATTAAACAATCAATGAGGATCAAAACGAGAATCCTACTATTTCCATCCACCTTGGTAATCATTAACCACGAATACCTAGTAGATAGACATTGGACGAGAAAGAAACAGCTCTACAACCTCTCCTCTCATTCATAGCATGCATCGTATATGAAACGTAAAGCCTCACAATTGATCAGCAACAGACAGACAAACAGGCTCAGCTCCGATTCAGGGTGTCTATACTATATTATATAGTAAAGCAACGCCGAAGAGAAAAATGGGATGTACTAACTAAATAGGTATCCTATAAGTATAACAAATATAGAGCGAGGTGGCAAGAAGGAAAAACGCGTGAGTGTACGCGGACAGGTAAGATGGGTTGTGTTGAAGATCGAAACAAAGGAGAAGGAAGTTAGATGGTCGAGTGGTACAGATGATCTGGAGGGGTTGTTCTGGGCTATTCAAGAAGGGTCCAGTAGCCACAGTGACTGCTTGATTGGGGTAGATGGTAGGTGGGAAAGTATAGAAGAGTGATTGATGGCGATGACGATGAAAAAGTCACGAGATTTGCAGCAATTTCCATCTTGAATTTGATGATGGATGATGGGATGTTGTCATTGAGATTGCAGCGCAGCTATTCAAAAGATAAAAGGAATGGTATACAGGTAAAATTGAGCAAAGAGAAACGAGAAAGAAAAACTAGTCAGCGTCCATGTCGTCATCGAGGTCAATCGCATCCGGGTTGACTGGAGCAGCCGAAGGCTGCTGTTCCTGGCCAGCTGGAGGTGGCCGGTTGCCACCTTCTGGTCCGGTGCTGGCGGCGACAAAGCCCACGGGGGCACGAGCCTGTCGCTCCAATGCTGCCATTGCGTCTGCACGCTCCGCCGCCGCGTCCTCGCCGTCTTGCTCGTTGTCTTTGCCGCCGTCTTGGGTCCGCTGTTGACTGCGGGCAATCGCCTGGGAAGCGATGAAGTTGACGTCGGTGCTGTTTCGAGGTTAGTCATGAGCTGGTTTTTCGCTATATGTGGGCATCACTTACTTGTACTGTGCTTGAACACTGCGCTTGATACGAAGCATCTCCTTGAAGGTGTCCTCGTTTCCATGCTGGACTTCGAATGCCTCCCATTTCTGCCAGAAGGGCGCATTGGTACGCGGATCGCAGAACTGAGACGCGTGTCCATAGATCGCACGGGCCCGGTCGATTTCTCCGAGTCTCCGCTCCATTTCTGCAAACTTGAGGCACATTTCCTTCGCTTCTTGGTCGGGCAAGGCTGCAATGGCCCGTTCGTAGATGGGTCTCGTGGAAGTTAATCCGAAGTTTGAAGCCGACTTCGTGATGTAGAACTCAAACATCTCGAATCTATCCTCGTCGGAGACGGCCCGGGTAGCACGCTCGTAGATTCTCATGGCATGTCTGGCCAGACCGCGCTCCTCTTCCAGGTTGCCGTACATCAAGTATAGGGGTTTGGCAAATTTAGGAGGACATCCGTCCAAGGCCTGTTCGAACAGATCGCGGAGTCGCTCGATTCCAATCTTCCGGTCAACGGCCTTGGTCAGGTAGAGATTCCACAGTTCGAATGCAACTGGGTAACTGAAGAGATCCAATCCACGTTCGTAGACCTTGAAGGAGTCTTCGAAGTATTTGTTCTCCTCCAGGAGATTGGCGTAGTTGACGACGGTTTGAGGGGTAGCAATGCGCAGTTCGAAAATCCTTTCGTACACCTTCTTCGTCTCCTCCAGGGAGGACACACTTTCGACCAGATCGACATAGAAACTCCACAGCTTCCAGCTCTTGTGCACACGTTGCTGAGGCGAAAGGTTCTCGTCGAAATAGTCCACAGTCGATTTCTTCGGTGCTTGCGTTGCCTTCGCCATTATTTCCACGGCCTTGTCGAAGTTCTCGCTCCGGAGTTCCATTTCAGCCCACTCGCACCATGTCTCGGCCAGTTCAGCCACTGATTTAAAAGGAACCTTGACAGCCTTTTCAAAGATTACTCTAGCTGTGTCCAGATCACCTCCAGTCTCATAAAATTTGGCATAGTTGACCCAGAGCTCGGAGAATTTGCCGTGAGCCTTCTTGGGGTTGATAGCTGCAATAGCCGCTGTGTAGGTTTGCACGACTTCGTGCTTGTTGTCTCCCCAGAGGGCCACTCTCTTCTCCCATTCGATCACATTATTGGGGTTCTGCCTGAGAAGCACATCGTTAACAAGGAACGGTCGTCGATCCATCAGTTGCTCAAATCGCATCATCCGCAGATCAAGGTCGAAGTCGGCTTCTTCGTCACTTTGTCCTTTGTCAGTTCGAGTTGCTGCTGACTCCATCAAGCTTCCGATAATAGACTCCTCGAATTCGACATAAGAGTCAAAGATCAGGGTAAAGTCTCTGACTGTCATGACCGTCGTGATACCTTCCTCAAAGACATCTCTAGCTTTTTCGAAATTGCCTCTGGTGATCCAGTACGTGGCCAAGCCAGCCCACAGCTTGCCCCTTTGGTCGGCAAACCGATCAATGCCGCTGCGCAAAATGGCGTCAACATCGATTCCTACCTGAGGGCCAGTCTCGATCTGCTTTGCCTTTGATACCAACAAATCAACCATCTCCGTCCACAGCTGAAAGTTGCTCTTTCCTTCCTTGGACTGAAAACGGGGGTTGTCGAGGATCTCCATGTACCGCTTCACGGCCTCCGTGTACTGGCCCATATCGACGAGCAATTGAATGTACTCCTCGGCATTCTCAGGGTGAATCTGCATGTACCGAGCCCAGATCTTCACAGCGGTCTGGCCTGACGCGGAACGCGCAAAAGTCTTGTAGAGCTTCCAAATCCGATTGTGTTGTGTGATTGGCAGAGCTCGCAGTGCACGATCGAATGTCCGTCGAGTTTGCGTGACAAGAGGCTGCTGGAGCAGGAAGGAGAGGTACATTTCCCATATCCGCGGCATCTTATTGAGCAGGATTAGAGCACGCTCGAAGAGCGCGTTCACTTTCTGGTATTCGGCCCGATAGACAGTCGCGTTGCGGCCCTTTAGGTGGTGTGTCCGGAATTCGAGGTACTGCCTCTAGTCAGCTGTATTCTGACACCACCATGTGACATGGAATATAGTAATATGAGGGGTTCCGCAGGTAGAAAAATAAAGGTTCCATACCATCTTCCACAGCTTGTAAGATCTCGGCAATTCTCTGCACGCACGCTCCATGACCTGCACATGACTTTGGTTAGCACGTATATCGGGACGTCATCGCGACGGCAGAGAAAACGTACAAAAGCTTGCTCGTAGAGCGTGCCATGTTGCTGTTTATATTCGATATAGGCAAGCCATGGCTTGATGCTACCGGGACTGCGAAGGAGATCCTGTTCGTAGACAGTATCCTGATCGGCCTGCAATCACATCGCACAGTTAGCCAGGGTTGTCTGGTAAATCAATGGATGCGTCGCCCCCACTTACAATCAGGTAGAGGTCCGGCCCTGAGGCCGACGTTCGGTCCATCTGAGCGTGTTGCCGGTGGGATCTCGGGGGCAGGATTGTCCCTGGCATTGCGCCACTCAATCGAGCGGGACCAACTCACACGGTCAACACGAAATCCGCAGAGAAGGGGGTCGCATGAACGGGTAAAGCTTGTCTGGTCGCGCGGGTTGGAGAAAAGCGCCGAGCGCTGCGGGCGATGAAGTCGGACGTTGTGCACGTGACCGGCAGTCATGCGGGCGGGCACGGGGTGGCCCAAGCTCACTATCGCGCATCGTCATCGCATATCGCGGCCCTCCCTCCTCGCTGCAGCTATCGTGGCCTTTGTCGGGATTGGAGTGGCCCTTCTTGTTCCCTCTTTTTTCGTTTTTGTTTTCGTCTGCATCGATCATGTCGGGAGCTGTGGTATGTCCAGATTTTATCCTCCGGTCTCCTTTCAAGAGTTGTGCGGAGGCATGCATACTGATTACAATCACCTATTCAGGGCCGTGAGGCAGTCTTTCCGACTCGCCAGTCGTTGGGGTTGATGAAGGGTAAATTAAAGGGTGCTGAGACTGGACACAGTTTGTTGAAGCGGAAGAGTGAGGCTTTGACCAAGTAAGTTCTTTGACTTGCCCTATCTAATTGGGGTCTTGTTATCACTAACCCGTCCCGATCTACAGGCGTTTCCGGGGTATGACAGCCCTTCCTCACTGAAGCTCCCTACCATGTCGGAGACTAACCCCAGTGTCTAGAGATCACTCGGCGCATCGATGAAGCCAAGCAGAAGATGGGACGGGTCATGCAAATCGCCGCTTTCTCGCTTGCCGAAGTCAGCTATGCGGTCGGAGGAGATATTGGCTACCAAATTCAGGAGTCCGCCAAGCAGGCCCGGTTCCGTGTGAGGGCCAAGCAAGAGAACGTCTCTGGTGTCTTGCTCCCTCATTTCGAGAGCTACACGGAGGATGGAATCAACGACTTTGGCTTGACGGGTCTCGGAAAGGGTGGTATGCAGGTCCAGCGCTGTCGGGAGACCTATGCCAGAGCGGTGGAAACGCTAGTGGAGCTGGCGAGTCTACAGGTTGGTTTTGTACACTCGTGTCGTTGGTCAGACGAGTTAATACAGTTCTTAGACCGCATTCGTGATTCTAGATGAGGTTATTAAGGTGGTGAACCGGAGAGGTACGTGCTACTGTCCGAACTCATATCATTCATTAAGCTAACTTGTCACAGTCAACGCCATGTAAGACATGCAGCGCTTCGCCCATTAACCCAGATACTAACCGGTTACAGCGAGCACGTCATCATTCCCCGTACTGAAAATACCATCAAATGTTCGTATCCCTACCCTGACATCCTCCTACCCACTAACACCACCCAGACATCAACTCGGAGCTGGATGAGCTCGACAGAGAAGAGTTCTACCGCCTGAAGAAGGTTTCCGGTAAGAAGCAGCGCGACAACGCCGCTGCAGACGCAGAGATCCTGGCTGCGCGGCAGAAAGAAGCAGCCAGGCTGCAGGAAAGCGCAGATGCTGAGAAGAAGGAAGAAGAGGCACCTGAAGCACCCGACGTCCTCGGAGAGCAAGAAGATGCCGACGTGATTTTCTAGGCGCCGTTCAGATTCCCCATCGCCCTGTAACTAGTACCTCCCTCACCTACACTTTCTAGCCTGGAGCAGTTCTTTTTCGTCACTTCATATGCCTTACACTGTCAGATATCACACCGCCAGCCGAATGATTTACCTCAACAAAAGACATCAGACATGCTTTCTTCCCAGATACCATCCAACAAATCAAAGTAGGTAGTCATAGTAATAAAACAAGAGACATACTAGACACGAGGGAGAAAATAAAATAGAAATACCCACCCCAACGCCAAACAAGCCACAACCACCCCAATCATTGTCTCTGGTAAGTAACGCGAATGGGCTTTCCAGCCTCTCCCATAGGCATCCCCGACGTCGCCTCCTTGGCACTGATAGCCCCAGACTCGTTCTCGTACTCGACGAACGCAATACCCTTGCGTCCGGGGACCAACCGAACCTCCTGGAATCCCTCGAACCGACCAAACACAGCCGTCAGACTGTCCTGATCCGCAGTATCGGGCAAATCGCGCAAGAAGAGAATCTTGTTCGGAGGCAGATACTCGTCCGGAATAACCGCCGCCGCAGCCCCACTGGTAGGCTTGAGACCAGCGCCCTTGGCGGTTTTCGCAGGACGGCCAGGTTCCGTAGGTGCGCCGGGGGGTCGCTTGAGCTTTTTCTGAGCTTCGAGGGCTTCGTGCGCTTGTTTGCGTTCTACACCCGACACACCATCATTAGCCATTTGCACCAGAACGCGACAACAAGAAAAGCGAGGGAAGGGGGTTAACTAGCATACCCTTCTCAGCCAATCTCCGTCTCTTATGCGCCTCCAACTCATCCTCCCCGCCCTCACGTAACACCGTCATATCACTTCTCGTCTTCGCGTAATCCAACACCATGGGTTTATCGAAGAGTTCGAAGCCATTGATTTCGTCGATGGCGCGGGTCGCCGCCTCCACGGTGTCGAAGACAACAAACGCCTGTCCTTTCGCCTTCAGGTTCGTTTTCGCGACGATTTCAAGTACCGTGCCGTATTCGGAGAAGATCTCTTCCAGCGCTTCTTTTAGCTGGTCGACTTTGATGCGCTCTTCCAAGTTGCGGACCTATTTTATTTCGTTGGTATGTTAGAGATGTGGTGTAGTTGTGGAGAGGGGCATGGTGGAGGAGGTAACTGTACGTAGACTCTGTGGGCTGGTGGTTAGCTTTATGTTATTGCTATATGGGTTTGTTGCGATGCGGGTTCGGAGGATGGAGATCAGATGGGGGGAATGGCTTGGACTTACGTGCAGTTGGGGGGTATCGGGGTGGGCGCTGTTATGGACGCCATTGTTGCTATGTTTTTTTGTGGGGTGTACCCTTGTTGGTGGAGGAGTTGGAGGATTGGTGTGAGAGCTCTCGGAATTACCTACCTGGAGTAGGTCTCGAACTGTAGATATGTCGGCGACGGGGCCGGTGGATGGGTGCCGCTTTAGCGGGTGAGCTTCGGGTCAGGTGATTGCTGCTTTGTGGAGCGAGCTATTCCTGTATAAGACAAAATTAGGAGTCTTCTTCCATCACACCAGCATCATTGGTCTAGTGGTAGAATTCATCGTTGCCATCGATGAGGCCCGTGTTCGATTCACGGATGATGCACAGCAATTTCCTTTTTGCGTTTTGCATTTCTATTTTGCCGCTACTTCTTAGTAGACTTGGGCCTGTCTCTTTTTCTTTTCTAGATATTCTTTGTAAAATTGAAAAAGTCGCCAAATCATGGGATATCCAAAATTGCGAAATGCGCTAATTACAACCCAATGTCCTCCTCAACTTCTCAACCTGCTCTTTCAACTGCTTGGTCGGTTTGGACCAATCTTCCGTCTTGACTACTTCAACCTCCGTCTCTATGTATATATACTCGGCCACAGTGTTACGTACCTATTCTGATTAGCTGTAAACACCGCAGAAGAATTGAAAGACTCACCCTAGGGAACGGATGCAGTAGCAGCGCCGTCATTTTCTTGATCACTTCCGTATGTAGCTGCTCTATCCTCGACAGAGGTGCATAAGCCCGGACTGCCGCTTCGAGTCGGGCGATGTTTGACGATTTGAAGTGCGCTCTTTGTACGAGGACAAATAGCTTCCGCAGACTACTACATGTAAGTAGACGTCGTAGCCTGCAAATGGGAGAAAAGTACCTTGGGATCGAGTCATCGCGCACAGAAGAGACAAAGCTGTCCAATAGGAACGCCAAGACCTCAAGCACAGGAATCGCAAACCGATCGTCTTGCAGGTTCTCGCCCAATATGGCAGCCAGGTCCTTGATTATGGCCAATACTGCAGCCTGCGGATCTTCTGCTTCTTGAATGCTTTGTACCAGAGCTGAGCGAGACGACCGAATCAGTCCTTCGCTACCAGCAACGGCCGAAGTTGCTAGGCCTTGAAACAGAGGCTGGCGCAGCCAATCAATACTCTGCAACTGGAGCAGCTGCAGCAGATACTCCGTTGAGGATACATGACTGAAGTGTTCGTATTTCCTGATGTAATCAGTATCCTTACATCTTGGACACACATGGTAGACGCACCTTGTCAACGGCGGAAAGCCATTGGCTGTTTCCCAGTAGCCCTGAAGACAAATCCAAGCTTGCACACGTACTTTGTCAAGCTTTTCCGCTGCAAGTCGGCAAAGGCACCCAACAATATCTTGCACCCCAGGCAATTCATTGGGAAGTCTTGGTCCTGCTTCTAGAACCGTCTTTGCGGCCTGGATCGCTTCAAGCCGAATCAAAGAACCGATGTCTCCTCGCCTATCGGTTGTATAATCATTCAAGAAACGTACGAGATGATTGAGGATATCATCGGTTACGTCTTCGAAGCATCAGCAACTGCATTACGTTTTGACAGTCAAACATACCTATATGCGGCAAAACACCGGTAGCCAAGCTCTTGACAGCGGCCACTCTCTTCTCGATTAGTTCTTCTTTCTCTGCACATTCTATGATGCTGTCTATGATAGCTTTTCTGAGAGAACTGTTCTTGTCAATTTGTTTGAACACTGTGCCCAGGGCCGTGATCTGGCCGCGGCCTGTTGGCAGGTTCCAGGTAGTATGGATGTGGGAAAACCACCCCTGAATCATCTTCTCTTGTTCGTCAGGTGGTAAAAGAGGTAGAAGCTCGGATACTGCATTGGATGAGCTCTCGATAGAAGTATCCTCGCTCCGTGATATGCATAGCAAGAGCGTTTCTTGGGCCTTGCTTAGTAAATCCACTGAGGGTTGAGAGATTCGTGGTTCACGGGCCAAGGTAACTGATCGAGCAAGAGAACAGATCAACTGAGAAGAGGCCTCCGCTGTCAGCTCAGGCCGGAAAGTCTGAAGGGTGAGGTCATCTTGGGTTGGTCCGAGCGAAGAGCCGAATATCTCCCAGGCCTTGGCCACATAATGCGAGACACTCGTTGCGTCCGATGCATCTACGAGATCCCTCTCACGGTGGGCGTTGAATGCGTCAACCGTAGCTGCGATGGCCAAAAGACAGCCATGTCTAGTTTCCACGTCACTGTGTGGAATACTAGATAGCCTATTCAGCAGCCGCTGGAACACTTGTTGCATTGTTTTGTATGACTGCTGCGTACTCAAAACTCCGATTGCTTTGGCTGCATGCCTGCGAGACTCTGCGTCAGGCGAGCCAATACCTCGCCAGTGCATCAATGATTCGACAAGGGGGCTCCAGTAATGGAGGCTGAGAGCAGCGGTCGCATTGGCAACATCGATCATTGCCCGCGAGCGCCGAGCCACCGCATGGTAGTCCACAACTTGCACAAGAGGTATACCTTCGGCAATTGTGTTGGGATGACGCCCGATGAGCTCTTGCAGTGCTGCAGAAGCACCCCTCCGAATATTTCCAGACGGGTCAACGCACGCGGCACACACAAGTTCGATCGCTAGCATCTGCAATGTGCTTTCTTCTTCACCTTGAGCTGTGGCTGTGCTGATTGTCGACGGTTTCAAGGCAAGCAGTTCCTGGGTGGTATACTTGCGAGACAGCGCCCAAATTCCGAAACACGAGGCGTCGCGTACACCTGTTCCGACAGAGCTTCCAGTTGATGACCGTTGCTCGAAGTCAAGGCCAGAAACAAGTGGTTGAAGCACATCGCTAAGTTGATGGGTAGGAGGCGCACGGCGAAACAAGAGATGGCCGAGCGTCAAGATAAGCCCCTGCCACCTCTGAGCGTCGACTGCGCTCAAATTTCGTTTCAACGTGTTGATCCCTATCCTCCGTGCCTCCAGCGGTGTCACTATGGCCCCGTCTCGCTTCTCATATAGGATGTTCTCCTCCAAAGAGCCGGTAACAGCCTCGATGACCTCCGCGGCCATATCTGGATCCAGCTTCAAAGTAATAATACTTAGAGCCTTGCTCGCTGCAAAGCGTACAGGGGTATCCTTATCAGCAAGAGCGACGAGGAAGTGATCAATTGCATCCTCTAAAATTGTAGAAACCTGGTCGTCCGAGATTGTACTGTCGCCCCTCTCATTGAGTGACAAGGCCATAACTGTTACCGTACGCAAGATTTTGATGATAGTCTTCCGTGCCAGCGCAGAAGACTTGATAACTTCTGAGACAGCTGAGTTGCCCTGCAGAATTTGCAGCGTCTGTCCAAAGACGGGAGACACCAGGGGAGCAAAGTCCTCCACCTGGCCCGACGCACCCAGGCGAGCGATGAAAGACAACACCCCAATACACGTGTAGACTGAAGGGGGTTCAAGATTACCTGCAGGCTGAACAACCGAAAACGCCCAGTCCGTCAGATTAGTCAAAAGCCCAAGCGCCTGCATATCACGCCGAAGCACCAGTCGTGCCAAAACAATTGTAGCGGCTTCCCGCTCTTTACCTGAGACGTTAACATAATTCAAGGCCACAGAAAGTAGAGACTTTGTAACCACTGGTGTGCGGTTTGGCATCTGTTTCAAAGTCCCAAGGTTGTCATACGGAACCGGGATATCATCTGACGACATCGAAGCCAGGTCGAAGGGAGCAAGTAACAAATGCGACAGCCAAATCAGCATCACATATCGTTCTTCCCAGACCAGTCGCAGGGGAATGTCTCCAAGGCCTAGCTCAGGTTCATCTTTGACGGCATCCCATTCGACGAAAGCGCGGAGCAGCGGGTCAAGGTACTTGGGCTCATTGTTCAAGAACCTGCTGATGACTTTGACTCCACGGACTTTGCAAAAGGTATAAAGCAGTCTGCAGATCGCTCTTGGAAGAGGATACGCTGTCTTCTGACCTTGCAATCCTGCGGGTTTGGACGCGTATTGATCGCGATGCTTCAGCAAATATGCCAGAAAGGCATCAACTAAAGGGGGTAGAAGGGCCTGCAGGTGGGGGTCCAACAGCTGCGGCCACTCCTGAAACGGTTCCAACTACAAAGTGGTCAGCTGTCACTACAAGAAAAATTCGTAGACTAGACATTGATATTAGGCACGGCGTGGGCAGCTTGCTTACCAGGCCGACGAGTCTTTCTGTTTTTGCGGCGGGGGTCCATCTCCGTGGAATGCGGGTGTTTGGCTGGTCGGGTCGAGTCTTCCAAAGGAGAGATGGCAGCTTCTCGGAAAACTCTTGGACGAGGTCTCCAGAGGCACGCTGGAGCTTAACCTCCCTATCCTCGGCCGCATCCATGATGGAGTGCCACTAAGTATACTGAAGCGTTGGAAAGCATCGAATCAGAAAGATTGAAGTCGCCGCGGGGATTCCATCTGTTGGTTGGTGCTTAGTCATCACTATACAGATCGATTCCTGCATGGCCATCCTTCTTAAAGCAGTTCAAAATGATTATAAGTACCTAATCGTACAGAATTATTTACTCTACTAAGTCCATTAGCAGTTAGCCTGAGTCAGTCACTGCCAGGTTGAGATTATCGATTACGAAAATTGGGTTCGCCTGCTGGCAGTGTGTATTGAAGTTTATATATTTCTATCCATCATGATCTGTCCCATACGGCTGTCAAAGTTGGACAACTCATTCTTGACCATAGACCAATATCTAAAGATTTATTTAGATTATGAACAACATATGTGTTAGAAACAAGAGTTGTTTAAATTATCTTATATTGAATGTAGATACAAGCCCCTTGATTGATGACATTCACAGTTTCTCACCAAACAGCATGGAATCGCATAAATCGCATTTTGGAGCACAATCACCAGCTGTATAGACTCACCATATTGTGAATGATGCCCTGTCGTGGGAATGTAACGATACAGATTTACGTTGAAGAGTAAATTTAGCTCAATGACGATGCGATTGCAGTGAAGTCTCCAAGAGACCCGGTCTATATAAAGGCCTCAACCACCCTGCCACTCCAACTTCCCAAAGTAATCCGACAAGATCTCTATTACATTACTACAAAGCTATACAACACTATTCATATTTAAGCCATTACTGCCGAGCAATGACATACAGGGATACTTCATAACTCTACCCTCAATTGCAGGAGCATAATAGCATCTTCATGAAATCCATGATACAAAGATATCCGTACCCGAAGGCAAGGACTTTGACCTACGAGGTACCACCAGGGTAGGCCGACTTAGTGGTCCAGTAGATCGCAGATACGGTATGTCAGCTATCTGACCGAACTTGAAAACCTTCCTGACCTTATCTTACCAAAGGCCGACATCATATTCTTCAGAATCGGTCCTCTGGACCATTCCGTAATGCGTGCGGGATCCTCGCTCTGCATAGTGAGAGCTTGAGACATGACATCCTTCGTTTTATCCTTCTTTCCAGCTAATATTCTCTAAATGGTCGCGCTTGGCCCTTCTTGCCTCGCTTGATTAAAGAGCCACCACGCGACTGCGGCTCGTTGGAGCAGCGCTTACAGCATGGTTCACCATATGGACCAACAATCAGTTGATATAACCAGCTAGACATGAGACTTGATAGCTCATTGGCGCAGTGTCTCCATTGGAAAAAGTCTCTCTTTTGAACAGAACTCGAAGCCTTTTCCCCAGCTCAAGGCTTTCTAAACGAGGGAAATATAGTTTAAGTGGCTGTTCATTGGTTAGGAACCCCTGTGAGCCACATCAACAGACAGTACGATGAGAGTACCAGGCAGGAGCCGGGCTATGGAGAGTATAGGCGTGCTCGGTCTACCATTCCAACATTACGTGGGTTTGGAACCTGAGCCCGAACCGCACCGTGTGAATGAGCCAGAAGAAGACGTGTTACCGAGTGAACACGTCCACGAACTTGATTATACCAGGCACACAACGATTGATGAAACAAAACACCAACAACAGCAGCAGATGGCATTTTGGATAGCATCCTCCAGTGATCCCAGAAAGACCGGGCCAGGGCTACCCGGCGCCACACAAGTGTGGCTTTCTGGATACGACGGAGACGGAGAACCTTTATTCCCAAGACCACGCATTTGTTGCTTGCGTCGAAAACACCAAACTCCAAGTCTCTGCTCCGTAGGTCGGGGTTGAGAGAGATAACCACGAGACTACTGGGGCTGGGTCCCTGTGTGACTCGGAGGACGAGGCATAAGCTACAGATTACTGGGATCCCCGGCTCAGCCAACAGCTAATCTGATAGATATCCCCAAGCCGTGACCAATTGGTAACCTGGTGCTTAACAACATCAAAATCGATTAAATTCTGGGATATAGCAAAGAAACACCACAGGAAGCGACTTGTAATCGTCATAAGTACTCCAGCTCCGTGTTTTGAGCGGAAATACTGTCGACTGTCCTTGTGAGTGAGATGCGATTCTGGGAAGACATGAGCGATGCAAGACAACTGATATTACTTGACATTGTTATATAGGGACATAGAGTCTTCCTCTTCTTCGACCGCAATAACGAGCAAAAAGCGTAAAGCACAACATTGAATGCCGGTCGCCTCTGTTATCATCCGACCTTGGGTGATACAAACATTTTGACAGTGCCGAATCCGCTCATGCTCGAGAGCACCCCATGAAAAGCATCAAGAAGGTTGTTCATGTAAGCATCTGCTGGATCGTCACGATGGCGAAGGGGACTCGCCCCCCAAAGCGATACATGCTCGTGAGCATGCAGTTCAACTCCTGTGTGCATTGTCTTCGCCACGCGCTCAACAACTACAAATATGCCCAAGGAGTTCCTTTTGATATCGGGTGCCAAATGGATGCGCGTGCATCTATTCTGTATAGCTTCTATTTCAAGAATAATAAGCTATGCGAACCAGTGACTTTCGCGCGCTCCCTTTTACTTAGTGTACTGGTTGAGATTCGAGAACTCGGCGATGAGGATGACTTATTCCGCTGCAATACGCATCCCCGAGTCTTATTGCCTGGTTCGATGTCCCTTATATACGCCCGGATGCTAAAATCAGCTTGGATGAATGGTCGACTGCCTCGGCTGATAATTTCCAGTTTCATCCAACGATACAAAGAACCTCCGCCCTCAGAGAAATGTTCCCATCCTGACAAAGTGCCTCGTCGGACATTGAAGGCTATATCCATGCTAGAGCTCCAGTATTGTGCAGCTTCTATTACGGCGGCAAAAAGACATGTGATCCGATAAGATTCGTATGCTCCTTGCATATCGATTGTTCACTAACACCATGGTGACCACTACCCATGTCAGGCATATTTGGTAACGCCCACGAGCTAGTGGAGATCATCGAGTGATGATCCACCTTGGGATTAGAGCAGGAGCATTGGAACGACGACGCAAGCTATCGATCCGGGCAGATTCACACATTTAGCTATTGCTTTTGGCAATGCCGAGGGCACGCACGCCCATGAACACATAAGAAAGAAATGTGGTAATAAAGCACGAAGATCCGAAACCATGTTCTCGATCTTCCTCAATCTCTCTCTTTATTCGACATGAAAGATAGCACAGGACAGAGGCTCAAGGTCAATCATACTTTCTGGCTTGATATCAGAGTTAACCACGCAGCGATGAACTGCCTGGTTGGCTGGTTTCCGTACCGCGATATAGGCATGTTAATGAACGAATAGCGCAAAATGCCAAAGAAAAGGCTGGCTTTCTTATTCTTCGCTTGAATAAATCACAGCAGGCACCAAGGACGGTCATGACGAACCCACTATGATCTAGCCGCCTCGCTGCGTGGCTGCGTGGCCGAAGATTCCCACCCCAGAATATGATTATTTCCATGAAAAAGCACCAAGCGACAACAATAGAAGATGCGCCTCTACAAATGCAGAGTGTTACTAGCGCCTTGATCAGGAACTGGCGGATCTCACAGAGACCATATCAATCCATGCCTGATCTCGATATCAGAGAAATGGTGGCTTGCTGCGAGTTGATCAGTGGTTCCTATACCACAACCGAATACACCAAATCTATCTAGCTGGCAAAAGCGCCGAGTTCCAGTGAAAGAGAATCATCCAACATCATCCGTCTCTGCTCATCACTAAGAAAAGGATAGCCAGCAAGGAGAGGATGATATGTTAGTACAGTATTGCCGAAATACTGGCTAGCCGAATGGTTTTTTGGTGGTTGGTGGTGGCCACCACTTAATCCTTCTAACGCCGACAATGTGTTCAGCCTAACACATACTCCATATCTCAGGTCCTGTGATACCACACGTAATATCAATTCAAAAGTGTCATCAGCGAGAAAGTGACCCTACGCTAAATGGCAACCTAAACTACAGCCTTGTCGAGTGGCCATCTACTGCAAGTAATAGAGACGTCTGATCTAAGCTTTCCTGGAGAAGATTCACGAGAAGGAATGGGTTGTTGGTGAGGACGAGGTTCAATCATTCTACTGCAAGCTCATGAAACCACCCGAGACCGATCTGGAACAAGATGCGCATCAACTGGCCGGCGTGTTAAAAGGCTCTCCCAAGATGATATTTATAATTGGAATACTGCGTGATCAAGTCCTTCTCCAAGGTAAGAAGGCACTCATGTAGACATAGATTTCAGGCGACGTTTATGCGACTCTCAAGGCGGCGGGTGTTTTGATTGCAGGATGCTCCACTCCAGACTTGATCACAGCGAACGTCATAAGCTCGTGAACAACTTGAGTAAACACCGAGATGAGTTCATGATTCTCATCATGTCCTATATGGTGAACTCAGCGGGGTGAAATCTGCAGCTATTTTTACAGAAACGTCCATCTTTTCAGCGTGACTCTCCGCCGGGCTATTACTGAACAGGTAATTAGCAGGATATGCAGATTCGGACAGATTCATATTGTTCAAGTGTTCGGCTATAGGGTCCGAGACTCTTTTCAAATTGTTCTCACTAACCGCGCCACTGAAAAGGCGCTGCCTGGCATAATGACTGAAGATGAGTCTGTGGTCGCTACTTCATGGGCTATCCGAGACGGCTGGCCGGTATGGCCATCTGGCAGACTTCTCGATGGTCTCTCAAGCATCACAGTCATTGATGATCTGGATGATGTTGCAGTCCTACACATCCTGTGGAGATACAGACATTTCCTCGGAGTCCACCTGGAGACAGATGCTATTTGGTGATTACTGTGGTATCTGGGAGGATAATCAAAATGATGACTGCAGGATCTGGACAGCTTTATCCATTATTCATAAGTTGTTGTTAGCAATGAATTTGGATAATAGCCCGGTAGTACTCCTGGCTCTGTGTAGTAACTTCCTGGTTGGCAGATACGACCCACGCCTTCTGGCATCACGGGTGGTAAAGTAGACTTGACGTTCTGTCTGTCTGTGGTTCACGCTTGCATAGAACTGGGATGGGATGTGGTAGAGTTGATAATCATAACTATGACTTGTGAGAGGGAGAGGTTCAGGGCATGAGGAAGGATCGACATCATACAATGGTGCATATGGTATGATATTAAGATATATATGCTTTGGGGGTATCTGCACCGGCTACTGTATCTCCTCATATTAATACTATAGTAGAATCATCATAATACCAATTAGGCAAGAAACTTGAAAATCATCCAGCTTACACTCTCCCCAAAACATCATCATCGGACTCACCACTTCCTCCGTAAACCTCCATCTCCTGTTGATGCCAGGAAACCAGAGTGGGTAGAGTAATACTACAGAAACAGGGTCAACTAACTTCGACCTACGCTTGTAAGTTCTCTATTGCATGGGACAAGCAATTATCCAGTAAAACTATCATATCATGGAATCATCTCAAAACAAGCAAGTAGCTGAGCTATCTAATTTGCATTGCAAGTTAAATCGCTAACCATGCAACTCCAAACCCATAACAAACAAAGCATTCATCAAACCAACGATCACCTCAAAGATCTACATCAAAAGCCGAAGGACTACGCTTTCGTCCAGGCCGATAACTCCCCTTCCCTTGATGCGCTAACATCAACATAGTCCGACGAACATGCATCACCGTAATAGCAATAGCTAATGAGTTCCACACATCCTGACCGCGTTCCGACAAGTCAAACTGAGAGATGAACCGACCGTCTTCTTGGCCGTTGCCGATCTCTCGAGGATCAGTGCTATGTGTCAAGATGGCGACGATGGGACCGCAGATTATGAACCCGGTAAGAAGGGGGAATTTGGTGTTCTCAAGTATTTCCGCCATCTTTTTCTCTGTATAGGTGTTGTCTGCCACGCCAAGGTCTTCCTGGTGCTGCCGGGTAAGCTTCTGCAGCCTTGCGTTCATCTTCCGGACGGCTGTGATGGTTTTTTCGTGTTTCTTTTGAGCGTATATTACATGGACTGGTAGTGCATCTTTCATGGTGTGTAGGTTGACGTCAAAGAGAGCCCAGGAGATGTATTTCTGGATCGCTTGTCTTATCAAGGGTTCGGGCTGCTGGTGTAGAATGTCGCAGTCGCGGACACGGCCTCCGACGGCAAAGAGACTTGTCAAGGCTTTAATAGCTGGATAAGTATTAGTATCTCTCTTGTAACGCAGTAAGTGAAAACTCACCATAGAGGTTAGAGCTTCGAGTGACGTCGATAATCGGCTTATCAGTCTCCTCGGAGCTCCTAGGATACAAAGATTCAGGCAGCGTCGGAAAGTCATATCGCCAGCTTCTGGGGACAACCGGCTCAAATCCACGCATGGCAAGGCGAAAGAACAAATCCTTCTCTTCCTCGTTAAAAAGACCCTTTGGTACATTGATCGCGCTGGCCCAGCGCTTGGCTCTTTCTACCGAAAAGTCAAAGACAATACCCGTCTTCTCAGTATGATGAATAGGACGGTCCTGATATTCTTCGTTATCATCCTCGGTAAAGTCGGCTGGGATTCCGATTTCTGTTTCAATGGACTTTATCGGAGTTGCCTCCGGTCCGGGAGACACAGATTCACCTGGAACGTACTCCTCGTATTCTTTTTTCGGGCTCTTCTTCGGGACATGTCGAGCACGAGGGAGTGCAGACGAAGTGATTGCAGCTTTGGTTATAATCTTCTTTCGAAGAGTATCCGGCGTCGGATATGGGATCGCACCTAGATCCGTCGTTGCATGATCCTTCTGTGAAAACCCAGTCACCCCATGTTGATACACAGGATCGGTTTGAGCAGACGGCGTAACAGGAACCTCTGCCTTCACCGGCTTCTCAGGGGTCAAACGACGAGCATCAACAGATGATGCGAATGCAGGATGTGGCATCACTCTCCTCTTCTTGGAAGCCCTGACCGTCGCTTCTTCGCCCTGGCTGCTATCCCCATCATCTTCTTTCCCAGGCATGTATGTAGCATCCACATCTGGTCTCCTCTTCCTATTCCTCTGAGCAACCCTGTCGATGAGCTCACTAGGATCTATCTCATTCGCATCGGGGTTGAAGACATCATCTTCCTCTGCTTCTTTGCTCGGAATGTATGTAGCATCTACTTCCCTCTTCTTCCTCCTAGCTCTCTTAGCATCATCAATCTTCAGTTCATTTGGATCAACCTCATCCGCATCTGACACAAACTCCTCATCATCCTCTTCGACCTTGATATACTCTTGAATGTAATCCGGATCCTGCGTCGGCAGCGGCCCGCTCCTTCTCAGAGACCCCCCTGAAGATACAGATCGCGCACGAATAGTCATCAGTGCGTTATTTGCCGGAGAATGAAACGAAGAATGAAGACTCTCGCTGATAATACTGCGTCGTTTCGCCGCTCCTTGTACCACGGTGGGTACACTTAGGACAAAGCAATCACGATGCAAAGTTGGAGTTGGTAAGGGCGGCGATATATATGACGAACAGAATGAAAAGGCTGAATCACTCGATAAGAGACTCTTGAAATCGGACGAATCCAGCTCTGTAAGGTTCGGGTCGGTATCGGTGTCGGGGGTTAATGGTGTTGGTTCGGAGGCATTTTGAGGCGGAAGTGAGGAGAGTAGCTCGAAGAGGAGTTGAGAAGAAGACATGATGTCTTTGTCTTGTAGCATCAATGATTTTATAAGTAGGGGCTCCTTGGATCATGCTTTGTTGAGCTGTGGATAAAGTGTTGGACGTTGGACAAAGAGGGACAAGAACAAACAGAGGAGGGGATGGGAGACCGAGACAACATACGGGTCTGGGGCAACAATGGAGTAAGCCTCAAACCTTGGAGAAGTAACACTGCAGTCACTGGGTGAAACAAAGAATCAATCTAGTGCCTTCCCTCCGCATCTTGATTGTGGTGATTAAGAGGACAAAGAAATCTGAAGAATCGGCTCTATAGAGCATCTACATTATATGCTATTCCAGATGCATTCTTTCACTCCTCGGTTCCGCGTCTTCCATTCAGTCATACAGCATTAAACAGTGAGTCGAGAGAAACGCTGAAGCAGAATTACATTCCAGGAACGGGGACTCGCCCGCAAAAGAACAGGAATTAAAAACAGCCTAAGATGCTGAAGACTTATAAGAAAAAAAATACTCCCCAATCAACCCCTCATTCCACATTCACAAATGCCATCATAGCGCTTACACCAGCTCTCAAAACTCTTATGGGTATGTGGGAATCCTTTCAGCGCAAATATGCCGAGCAGCCGGCATCAAGAATTCCGAGAATCAGACCGTGCCAATGTTGACATGAGGTAACGAGCAAACAACAGAAATTCGGACAACATTGAAGACGGCGCAATTACGCAAAGTCCGCGGTGTACGAGAAGCCACGGAACTCTTCCTGCATTGCCTGGGAAAGGACTGGATACGATGTTAGCGGGGAGACTAGCGGACACAAAACCTATTAGAATCTTACCGGATTGTACGGGTGTCAGGACAGGAGTGACGCTGGTGAACTCCTGGTCGAAGTTGCTAGTATCGGTAGGGCTGCTAATTTGAGGCAAGAAAGGCGGGGGCACCCGCTTGTGGTAGATGTCATCCCAGTTAATGTTCCTAAAGAAGGCATGGGACATGACTTCTTGGGCGTCGGTAGGTCCGGAGCCAAGACGTAGTTCTGGCTCACGGGTGAGGAGCTTCTGGAGAATCGAAACCGAATCGCGAGGCATGTGGATGGGGTATAGCGGCTCGTCGGCAAGAATAGCATCGTAGATTTCGTCCTCATCTTCACCACGGAATGGAGACTGCTGGAGAAGCATCTGGTAGATAAGGACACCGAATGCCCACCAATCAACAGCACGGCCATATCTCTTATCCAGGAGAATCTTTTGCAAGCATTAGTACCGACTAGACACGGATCACAAGCATTGTACTCACCTCGGGCGCCATGAATTCCGGAGTACCACAGAACGTGCTCGTGGTCGCACCATACCACATGTTCTCCTTGCAAAGACCGTAATCAGCAACCTTGATGTGACCATCCAGGGTCAACATGATATTATCGAGCTTCAAATCACGGTAAATGACACCGTTCTCGTGGAAATACTTGAGTGCCAGCAGGACCTCCGCAGCGTAGAACCTAGAATAATCAGCAACTTTTCATTGCCGGCCACCGTGCCCGTGTATAACTTACTGTGCTCGCTTGAGACCAAACTGGCCGCGCTGAATGTGCAACATCAGATCACCACCGCTAATGTATTCCATGACGAAGTAAACACGAGTCTCCGTCTGGAAACAGGCGTGCAGGTTCAGCAAGAAGGGGTGACGCTCTTTGTTCGCGATCATGAAGACTCGCTTCTCGGACTTCGTGCTTTCCACTTCGTCATTCTCGATGATGAACTCCTTCTTCAACACCTTGATGGCGTACAGCCTCTTGGTGCTCTTCGTCTCTGCCAGCATGACCTTTCCGAAGTTACCCTTACCCAGGACTGCCAGGAAATTGAAGTGGTCCAAACCAATGCGGACCTTGGGCTGCTGAGGAGCCTCAGGGGCCTGCTGTGGAGGCATCTGCATCATAGCCGGCTGCTGTGCAGGCATGCCATACGCGGCAGGAGCTGCATGCTGCATCGCTTGAGCCGGCATGCCTTGCGGAGCATTGGCGTACGGCTCGTACGCCTTGGGATCATATGTAGGCAGCTGAGGCTGCATTGGGCGAGTCTGCTCCACTGTACATTTCGAGTCAGTATCTAAGCAATGTTCGAGACCTGAAGACGTGAACGAACCTGGCATTTGCTGGGGAGAGGGCATTCCCGTCGCGACAGTAGCAGCAGCCACAGCCGCACTCGACGACGTTCTCGGGGGCATCTGCTGCCTTGCAGCGGCTGTCGGGGACTGAGGAGGCATGTACGAGTTGGTCGCTGCGCTCACAGCTTCAGCGGAAGGCTGCCGCTGAGGTGCCCCGTATGGGCTCTCGACGGGCTTCTGTGGGTAGGCCATAGCCGCACTGTCCTGAGGGCCCTGGGGTGTGCCGCTGGGCCGCAGGGTGCGGCCACTAAGACCGGAACTCACAGAGGCGGTCTTGTTATGGTTCTTGGTGCGGATCAGGGTCTCCAGGATTTGGTTGGCTGCCTCCATAGACATACCACAGAAATCAGGCACCAGATGTGTACAATGCGAGTGACAAGTAAGGCCACATTCTGCGAAAAGTCAGCATATTCCGTTATTGCAAATTCCTTATATTTTTGTAAGACCGCATACCTGTGCATCGCTTGGCGTTCTTCCGCCCAAAGGGAAGCAAATAACCACAGTGACAGCACCAGTTGGCGGAGATGTTGGAGAAACCCTCGAAGCGATGGGGAATGCGGTGGTTGATCTTTTCTTCGTCGGGATCGGTTTCGTAGTTGGCTTTGCTGATACACTTGGTGACAACCTTCGGGTAGCACTTCTTGTGGCAAGTGTATTTGCAGTCGGCGCACTGCATACCGGCGGCGTACTTGAGAAAGTCACCGCAGAGGGCGCAGCGCATGATGTTGTAGAACTGCTGGGTGACGAACTTGTGGCCCTGCTTCTCGTGAACCTCCTCCTTCTTCTGACGAACTGCACCCTGACGGTTGAGACCGATATCGAATGGCCGGCGGTCCTTCAATTGCTTGGCTACAGATTGGGTCAGTACAATCGGGGTGCAGCTTTTGAACAAACATACCGAAACTCATTGACAGGTAGATACGACCAACTGGCTCCAGCGCGAACCATGAATCGATCATGACCTGGTTCCCGCCAGGCGCTCCGGCGCTTCCATCTCCGTAACCTTGACTCGGCGCCGCACCAGGGCCTCCGGGCCCTGATGGGTGAGCAGAGCCTGGTCCCCCAGCGGTGTCCGGTCGTCCCGGCGCACCTCCATGCTCCATCTTATCCGCAGACACCCAACCCGATGCATTGAACTCAGACTCGATCTTCTTACGACGCATCTCTTCAGCGATGTCGGAAATGCGCACCCAAAGCATACCAATCGGCGTAGGTCGGTCACCCGACTTATCGTAGACTGTGAGCTCAATCTCGTTCGCCTTGTCGATGTCGATGTTGAACGTTTCGTCCTGCCACCTGTCGATGCGTGTCGCTTTTGTCCGAGCCTTGATGGTATCCTCCACTTTCAGCACAATGAACGTCTCGGGACCTCTGGAGAACCTCGAGCTGGCGGCATGGTCGACGTCCTTCACGGCGTGGATGCGGAGGGTTAGCAGACCAGTTAGTGGCTTGCGCAAATTGGGAGTGCTTAAACTTTCATCTATGGAAGTGATATTAGCACGTTTAGCAAACATGGCACAACGGAAATATAAGGGGAAACCTCAATGGCAGGATTACATACCATCGGGAGTATCCGTCGATTCAATGTCGACATGGAGATCTTCATATCGCTTAAGGGCCTGCTTCAGCAACTGAATCTTTTGGTTACTCTCAATCCGCCGGCCTTCGGCGTCCGCACGGCTCTTCCGATCACCCTCATCCTGATATAAGCGAACCATCTTCTCAATACCAGCCTTGTACTGCTTCTCCACACTCAATTTGAATTCGAGCTGCGACAGCATGAGCTGGATCTTGGGTCCGAGATATTGAGTGTCATATTTGATCAAGTCTAGCCAACAACGACGTCAGTTCGAGAAGAGCTAATGCAACAGACAGCGACCTGAGCTCCAGCAGCTGCAGAACAGTACATACCAAGCTTTGTGTAATTGGGCCGGGCCTTGGGCACGGGAGCGAAGGGTCGCGGGTCTGCATATGGGGCCCCTGACGGCATAGAACCAGCACCACCGTGCGGGTAGGCTCCGGAAGCATCACCAGATTCCTCGTTACCCCCATAACCCGGAGCATAATCCTTCTGAGGAGGGACGGGACCAGCCTCAGGATTAGGCGGGAGACGCTTATCGGTGGGGGAACCACCACCCTCGTGCTCCATGCGACGGAGCTGCAGCTCCCGCATCTTCTCCTCCAAGTAGGCGATATTCTTCCGACCATCACGGATATTCGCATCGACTCGCTGTTGCACTAGAGGATTATCGGTCGACTGTCGCATATTCGAGGCGGCGGTGATGAGGGCCTTTTCCCGCTCGATCTTGCGGTAGACCGAGGCGATGAGATCGTCCCCGTCCATGGTGTGAGGTGTGGTCCGCGGACAATGGGAGAATCGAGGGGAATGATGGAACGGGATCGACGCAATGCGACCGGGAGGGGGGTTGCGGGTTGGGAGAAGGTGGGGGTGTGTCCCTTTATGAATACGGAGGAAAAGAAGGAAAAGACGGGAGGGAGGAAGAAGAAAGAAAGCAGAGGAAGTAACTAGATAAGTTACAAGGGGGAGAAGGGTGGGAGAGAGAGAAAGTGAGAGAGTAAGGGAAGGGGGAGGGGAGGGGGGGGGGAAGAGGGATGAAGATGGGAAATGGCCGACGATCGGGGGAAGGAAGTTTGTTGTGGTGGTGAGGTTACGGAGAAGAAGGCAGAAAGAAGAAAAGCAACGGCAATAACAGCAGCAGCAACAACAACAATAGTAGGCGTCGCGGGGCTCTTGTTGACAGTTGCAGGGAGGGGAGGGAAGTCCGATCGATCGCGACGACGGGATGTCAGGTCAAGTCAGCTCTCTCCAAGGCAGGCAAGGCAAGGCAAGAAAGTCCAGGGTTTAAGCCACTCGGAAAACGTGAGACAAAGTTGGGCCCGTGGCGATGAACTTGACGGCTCAGAGTTCCTAAATTCCACCTGTGGCTGAGGCCGTGTGGAAATGTGGGAAAAATAGATAAAACGGGTGTGAACTCTCAGTACCAAGTTAAGTATAGGGTTTCATTACAGAAATAAGAAGAGAAAGAAAAAATAGGGAGGTAGTAGTAATAGTAAAAGTTAGGAAAAGTTAGGAAGAGAAAAGAATAAACTCTGGTTCATTCTTCATGTTATTATTTTTTCCTATTCTATCCATTCTGTTTTCTTACCGCCCGCGATAGTCACTCACACTCACACTCACTCACATTCACGGTTCTTTCTCCTTCAGGCAAGCAGTCGCGAGTTCGGAATGCGATGGACTGACTGACTGAGTAACGGGATCAGGCAAAAAGTCAATCCGCACTGCTTTTCCTGTCCCCATAATAGATGGACTGATCTCTGGATCGACCATCGGGGCAACGACACGGCCGGGAAGAATGATGCAATCAAATCAATTCTCCCTCTTCAACTAACTAGATAAACTGATCTAACTGACTGACTGGACTGGGGCTTGTTCCGCCCAGGGTCTCTGGTCCATCCATGGATGATCTGTTTCATCTTGCACGCACGGAGAATATTTGCCCAGAGGAACAACAAAAACAACCCCCAACATCAGTAACTCTTCAGCCCAGGCACGTAATTCGGGCCCAATCACCCGAGATTTCCTCGCCGGAGATGCGAGATAAACTACCGTTAAACTATAACGTCGTGTTCCCTGTCTTTCGGTCCTCTCTCCTACCATCATTCCTGCCGTGGTTTTGATGGAATTGGCCCGATTCCCCTTCCTCTTGTGCCGGCCTTCGGGTGTCCACTTCTTGACCGTTTCCTCTAACCCTGCGTCTGCCGATAATACTAAGAAAAATTCTGTTAACTAAAAAAAGGCAAAAAGGCACTAAACAGTTTGTTTCCATGGCTGCTGCTGGGATCCTCCCCCATCAAAAGTATTGACTCCCACTTGGCATCCGAGATCTATGATCCCCTTAAAACCCACAGCCACAGTCCCCGTGAATGACGTCTACAAAAGGGTCGAGGTCCACCCTCCCCTCCCCTCCTGTCGCCTGGATGAGGGGTTTGCTGGGGCGATTCTAGTGCCCCTTGCTTTTTAACCCACTCCCATGGCTGCACCACGCTGCTTGCAGGTCATGTGCCGTCGGATCATCCGTCCATGGCTGCCTTACTAGCTTGGAGTCCTGCGATTGGGGAGACATGCACCTAGAGAGACACCTGAAGACCGCGAAAAAGAAATGGGAAAGGCAACAGCTGAACAACCCCAAATAACAAGAACAAAATGAACACATATCCGAGAAGTAGGGAGGACATACGGTACGGAAATCAGAAGCGAAGGGGCAAAAGCTACTACGATGAAGTTTCGACATCAAGCGTGACGCGAGATGACAAATTGAGACTGCACCCTGCAGGATGGCGGACCGGTTTACTCGGATCTCTTCGAGATACGAGGAAGGGACAGCCACCCCATAAGCATTACGCCGTACAACCCAATGCATATCGGATGCAAGACGTACGTGCTCACTGTTTGGGCCAGCAGACCGGTGAAGAATGGCGATACTGCTCCCCCGCTGCTTCCCATGGCACTGATAATGCTCAGACTGGACGTCTGCATCGAGCGCGGCAGTAGCTTGCTGAACACTACCGTGGCGCAAGGATACACTGGTCCCAGTAGTAGACCCACTACGGCTACGGCCACGGCGTCCCCGATGATGTTGGGAATGAGCCAAGTCATGAGCTGAAAGGCAACTGATCCGAGCACCAGTAGGATGACAGATATCTTCTCCCCGACTAGGTGGGCGGGATGCGATAGGACAAACCGTCCAACGGTAATGCCAGCCCAAAACCCGGCACTAACGTAGCCAACTCGTGAGGGGTCCCCATGACGATAGTTAATAAGGAACGAGACCACCCAGCCGGAAATGGAGACTTCCGCCCCTTGGTAGGCGAAGATGAACAGAGCTCCAAGTAGAGTGGGTCGACTCTTCAGTGCTTGCTTCAGAAGGTCTGTTCTGGCCGGATGGACTGGGCCAGGCGTTTGCTGAGAAGTGGTTCGATGGAGCGCCGTTAGTAATTGTGTTGGGAGTTCCTTTTCATATTTCCGGAACGCCCAAGCGGAGAACACCATGTTGATCAGCGACATGGCCAGGTTAATACTGTAGAAGTAGGACCATCGGACCCCGTGAGATGCCAATGCCGTCGCCACAAGCGGGCCTATGATGCCGCCGATGCCATAAGCACCATGAAGAGCGCCCAGAGCTGCAGTGCCGTTCACAAGGTTCGCGCAAAAGACATTATTCAGGGCTAGGTTGACAGCCATGCCGAGGCCTAGCAGGAAGAAACTGGCCACAACGGCAGGGAATGGTGGCTTGCAGACGAGGATGACATAACCAGCGGTCGTCAAGCCTGTAGCCAAAGAATAGGTCTTTGACCGGCCGAGCTTTAGCTCCAGCAGTTGGGTCAAAGGGGCAGCAAGAATGAACCCCACCGCATTTGTTACAAAGATCAGCGACACGATAGCATAACCGATATGGTAGTCTTTCTCCATATAGGGAATGAGGGCTCCAGGAGCGCTGTCGTTCAGTCCCCCGGCGAAGTTCATCAAGCAAGCACTCAACAGCCGCCATTTAGTCATTGGCGGACTCTGTATTGCGGGAATGGAGTCCACAGCTTCCTCTCCCGGCGAAGTGAGATGGCTTGCCAATTCCCCGGGGCTCACAGGCATCTGCAAACCCAGTGACTGCTGAGAGGGTATCTCGGCGGTCTGTTGACTACGTTCTCGTCGGAGACCCTCTAGTTCATGGTCCGAGGGAGCATGAGGAATCCCTTGCTTATCCTTGCGCACCACCGCTGCAGGACTCGTGATTAGCGGCGGACTCTGAATGTCCACGAGAGTACCCAAGGCTGAGAACGACATCTTCAGCGGAGTATCCAGTCAGTAAAGAGATCCCCAAGAAATTGTAGTACGAAAACTGTGAAAATCCTAGGAAGAATGATTCTTTCAGGGAGCTCTGGGGATCCCCGACGTGTCGGGATCATTATTAATATCAAAGGAAGTGAATTAGCTTCAGCAGAATATCACCCCGCAAACCCCACCAGTAAGCAAACCTCAAAGAGATAGGATTCGGAAGCCAATCAGGCACATGCAAGTTTCACCATATGATACATCCACTCCAAGTGCCGGCAAAAGTGTCCAAAACACGAGCTCAAGTGGTCTAGATGCCAGGTTTTGCCCAGACATTGTGCAGGAGACCTGACTCGCAAGCAAGACCCTGTTTCGAGGAATTCCGTAATGCACTGTGTAGCTGGCTTAAATGTCACGTTTCTTTCGACCTTCCACTGAACATGAGCAAGGCACTAGGTAGTAGATGAAGAGATCTAGAAGGCGGGGGAAGAAAGAGGGAAGAGAGAGCGAGACTGGCAAAGAAGCGGATGGGGACCCACACACTCCCCACCGGGGATTTTCTACCGCCCGAATTTCTTCTTTCGAGAAAATCCTCCGCAGTCGACGGTTTTCGCATTTTGCTCGCGCATTCTTCAGTCTCCATAATACTCAATCAACGTCAGATTTTCATAACCTCCCACCGAACCACCCGTGTGTACTTTCGATATGGGTCCTCCTAGGCGCAAGGTTCTCGCTACGGCGGAAGAGACCATGTTCCCGCCGGATGAGTTGCCTCAGGGCCATCTGATCGCCCGGGCTATCAAGGCGACCGGAAACAACATCTACTCAGTGGAACTTCCCTCGAAGGAATCGGTTTTGGTGGAGCTCCCTGCCCGCTTCCGGTCGACCATCTGGATCAAGCGGGGTTCCTACGTGGTTATCGATGCCAATGCCCTCGAGGGCCGCGACAACAAGCTCAAGGGAGAGATTGTCAACATCGTCCGTGATGAGAAAGCATGGCGCAAAGCCCCGTTTTGGTAAGTGGATACTTTTATCGCGATGCCTGGGGCTATTACTGATCCCTTTGCAGGCCAAAGGAATTCGCTAAGCAAGCTGTTGTTGTCGCGGACGACTCGGACGAGGAGGATGAGTCCAATGTCGGCAAGATGCCCTCCTCAGATGAGTCGGATGCTTGATTGGAATCTGGCTTGATGCTTCAGGCATCGGGCTTTATCGCATGGGCAATAGACTACTTAACAGAGCAGTCTTACTTGTTCACGGCTTCTCATTTATTCCTCCTGGGTACAAGGCCGATTGCGATCATCGATGCACCTGTCACAGCCCGATTTCGATATCGGCTGGAGTCACTTCTATTGGATATGCTCTTTACCGCTAGGTTTCGAACGCATGGTATCAAAGGCGCTGGCGCTATTCGCAAGGACGCCGAAACTCTGGGCAGCAAGTGCGAGAACAACAACGACAGAACTGAGGTTGGTGCTGGGGAATACATTCCAAGCCCACTCTTGCATAGCCCAGATGAGGAACAGCAAGATGGGATGAAACCCTGCGCGCCAGAGGAGGAAGGGTGTCGCCCAGGAGAGATAGGCGAAGAACTGGTAATGAAGGGACCTTGCGCACAACAAGCCAACTGCAAGAGACGATAGCATCACAGTCATGATGTAGGGCCTGGTGGGAGATACTGTGCGCTGTCGACCCGCAAGCAGATTCTGGATGAATACGGGCAAGCTAGACCCATAGGGCCTCAACCAACCAGTGACGGCAAAGGCGCCCAGCAGCACGATGTGGATGGCCAGCAATGCCAGGGAAAACTTCTTGGACAAGAATAGTTCTTCACCAACAAACCTCCAATTGACTGTCCACTTGAACATGAACTGTCTGGTTAGCTCGAACGCCCGCGAGAGATAACCTGCGGGGTTGTTTTGTAGGAACGGTATAGCAAGTAAAACCTGTAGCTCAAGGTCAGACTAGTCTCCACGCAACTCGCCCTTGGCCAATTCTGCAGCCTCACGGGGACCTACCTGGATAAGGACGGCCAGAACCCCCAGTCTCACACTAGGACCAAGCGACAGACTAAGCACCGTGACAACGGCAATAGCCGGAGCCAGCAGCAACAAGGTCATCTTAATCGCAACACCAGTAGACCACAGCGCGACCGCAGCCGTCCACTTCCGATTCATGAATAACAAAATGGCAACCCACATCGCCAGCGCCGCCAAGCCATCATTGAACAGACGCAGGACATAAACGCTATGAAGTCTCTTGGAAAGGACCAGCAGCGGGAGCAAATACGGCGGAGCACCCGACTGTCTATAACAGCACAGCACAACCACCAGCGTGATCAAGTAGAGCACAGCAAACAGTATCTGACCGAAGAAAATATCCCGCCCCTCATCGGTAAGATGATAGAGAAACGTATAACTGTATACATGGCCGGCCGGATAGACAAGGGGGCCAGTGGATCCTTTGATGAGAGTGTAGTCGCGTTCACCGGACAAATACAGCGATATCTGTTGCATATATGTGGTCCAGTCAATCTCGGTATCTGCGAGTAACAGCAACGGGGCTAGGTTAGTGGCATTGCTTCAACTTGTCGCAAAACGGCGTGAACGGAGCTTAGCTTTAGCCTTACAGGGGACTTTCCAGATGATCAGCGCGCAGAGAAAAGCGTCGCCCAGGACCAGGAGCGGAGCCATCCATTTTGTGTGTCGGGGATTGAGACACAGATCGCGAATTAGGTGCATCCAGTCCATCTTGCGTGTGGTTGTTGATTCAGACTACATTCTTTTACAGTTGTAGATGTCGGGTGGCCTCTTCGTGCCGGAGAGCCAATGAGAGCTGCCCCGTTTGGGATTAGCGTTCATGGACACACACAAGTCCGCGCGGCCGCATGTCCGCAGAACAGATGGGTTCGTTACCATAGAATTGAGGCGAATTGTACATCAAGTGACAGTTGTTTTTAATCGCGTATGCATAATCATATAGTAGACAGTAGTTGTAGGTACACTATCGATACAAAGATGGGTATATTGCTGCCATGGGTCAGATTTTGTGCCCGGCCGAAAATTTCCGAAGCCAACCTCCGTCGAAGCCAACACGACTGCTTCATGGCTTATCTCATGGTGGAATCCATAAATCCTTCACGCTGTACATGCTCAAGGCCAAGTTGAGCCTTAATTGAGTCCTTCCCGCTTTCCTTTTGTCCGCTACCGACCCTCCCCAACCCGTTGTGACTGTGTCGTCGTCGATGTCGGCATATCTCCACTACTCGTAAAACCCAGCAATTCGCCCAAAATTCCTCGCGGCTTGGGAACTGGACACTCGTGGCCTGCCTTGGCCAATCTCTGTGCTTCTTCTTCTAATTGTAGAAACGTAGATACCTCCTCATCAGCAGCCGGCTGCGTCTGGGCGAGCGGATTTCCATCCTGGCTGAGAAGTTCTTCGTCTTTCCGACGTCTTCTGCGAATTCTCTGAATTGGTTGCCCATCTGCCGACATTATCATCTCGGAATCGGCGAATGTGCGACGCGGGGCGGGACAGGGAAAGACATGTGGTAGGCCGACGACGACCAAGGAAGCCAGGAGCGTCCCGGCGAAGAGGGAGGACGTTGACCGTGACCGGGGATGTAGATGCGGCGGCATGTTGAAAGATGGATGTGATCAATTGAGGAGTGAGGAGAATTCTTTTGCGGAGCGGAGGGTGACGGTGACAATGATAATGCGTTGACTAGGTCGGGGACATCGGTCAGTTTCGGTGCATAACAACCATCGAAAAGAAAGGGCCAGTCAAACCTTGTAGCGACGAGAGCACAAATGATTAAAGACGGGCAAGGCAGGAGGCCCCAAGCACGGTATGGCCTCACCAATGGACAGCGGGGGACGCGATAGAAGGACCACCGGGGAAGCCGGGGAGGGGAGAGAAGTTATGATGGGGAGACTGGAAAGGGAACCGAACTGAGGCAGCAAATTCAGGCTACAAACTTCCCGAACTGGATGAATTCGGTCTAGTCTTGGCGATCAGATCTAATCTTATCTTTACTGCATATGATTGGCCATTAGGGACAGCGGCGAGGTGCAAACTGGAATCTGAAGGGACTCAAACCGCCTGAGCTGCCATCGCCCACCTCTCTCACCTCTGCCTCCACTCTTCTGCCCCCTCCCCTCCCTCCTCCCATCTCGCCCGTTCTCGCTCTGCTTCAGTTGAGCACTGCATTAGACGAGAAAATGAGCGTTCTGTTTTTCTGCGCTTAGCGGTTTCCTCCTTCATCCATCTTGCGCCCTCCCCATCGGCATTGACTCAAGTGCCTCCTCCATTCTTCTGCCGTCAGGACCCACCCTCCCTGCTCCCTGCTCCAACTCAGTTGCTCATTCCGATTATCTCCTGCTGCGCTCGAGCACCATGAGCGATCTTGACCGGTATTCCCTCCATTCCCACCCCTCCTACCCTCTCCCCTTGAGACCACGATAAGCTAAGATCCCACTTTTTGTCGCGTAGGGCTATCGCGCAATTACGCGCTTGTCGGTTGATACCCGAAGCCCAGGTCCGCGAACTCTGCTACAAGGCGCGCGAGCTCCTAATCGAAGAAGGCAATGTAGTCTCCGTTGACGCGCCCGTGACAATCTGCGGCGACATCCATGGCCAGTTCCATGATTTGATGGAACTGTTCCGCGTGGGCGGCGACGTCCCGGACACCAACTACCTATTCATGGGCGATTTCGTCGATCGCGGATTCTACTCCCTCGAATCGTTCCTCCTCCTTCTCTGCCTCAAAGTCCGTTACCCCGATCGCATCACCTTGATACGTGGCAACCACGAATCGCGCCAAATCACCACCGTCTACGGCTTCTACGATGAGTGCATCCGCAAATACGGCAGCGCCAACGTCTGGCGATACTGCTGCGAGGTCTTCGATTACCTTGCGCTCGGGGCCCTCGTCTTAGGCGCCAGCTCAGAGCTCGAGCCCACCGGCCCCAGCATGGATACCACCCAATCCACCATGCCGATCGATGACGAACTCGAGACCGAAATCCTCAACTCCAGAGGCGAAGTCACCATGAGCACCTATCGCCCCCGCCCACAACACTCCTCCGACCCATCATCCATCTCCCCACCCCGCGACATATCCGCCACATCCAACCAAGCCCCCTTCCGCTCCGGCGCTGCCGGTACAAGCGCCTCCGGCGACGCGGGCGGGAGCTACGGCAGCCGCACCGGAGCCGTGCTCTGCGTGCACGGCGGCCTCTCCCCGGCCATCGACACAGTCGACAAAATCCGCCTGATTGACCGAAAACAGGAAGTGCCACACGAAGGCGCCATGTGCGACCTGCTCTGGTCCGACCCCGACGAGATCGACGGCTGGGGTCTCAGTCCCCGCGGCGCGGGGTTCCTCTTCGGCGGCGACATCGTCAAACGCTTCAATTACCGGAACGACCTATCATTGATCGCGCGCGCGCATCAACTCGTCATGGAAGGTTACAAGGAGATGTTCGACGGCGGGATCGTAACTGTCTGGTCCGCCCCCAACTACTGCTACCGGTGCGGCAACGTCGCCGCTATCCTGGAACTAGGCGAAGATACAAGCAACGGTGGCACCGTCGCCAGAAGTAATGGCGACTATGGGAGGAGTAACGGGATCCTGGGATCGACCAATAAAGCCGCCGTTCGGAGTCCCGGGAGACGGTATAGGGTGTTTGAGGCCGCGGCGCAGGATACCAGAGGCATGCCTGCTAAGAAGCCTGTTGCTGATTATTTCCTGTGATACCATTTGCCGTATGAACGAATGCATTTTTTTTTCTTCATGCCCTTTATCTATCTACATCTGTTTCTGCCTGTGCGTCTGCGTCTGCGCCTCCTATGTCTGCGTCCCAGCCGTCCTCCCATCCTCCCTTATATCCTCGCATCACTTCTATCCAGTTATATAGGCCGGCCTGTGCATGAACATGACTTGTCTTCCCCTTGACTTCTTTTCGTTATTATCTTCTCAACTACGATGTTCAGTCGTAAATGTATCGTGTTTGTTGGCTGGGACCGCCGTTTATTGGAGACTTAACATGATGATACATGCATGCTTTCTTGCATTTCACATACAGAATTTGAAGCTTTTAACTTCCTTGATCTCTTATTCCTATGTACTGTTGTGTTGTGTTTCTTTATTTCGGGCAAATGAACGACGGACGGGCTTTGTATGTGTGTGTGTATGTGCATCATCCATGACTGCTAGCATTTGGGTCACGATTGCCTTTTGTTACTGTTTGTTTGTATCTTTGTGTATGATCGGGTTGACCGAATTCATTTGACTAAGGCTCTGCTTACACTTTACACTTACTCTGGTTTAGGTAGTTGATGGGTAGGTTTGTATATTTCGGGTTTTCATGGTAGTTGGGTTTGGGCATCCGCGATCACTACTTGATTGCCCTGCTGCCTCCGGGGCGAGCTAGTGAGGGGTTCTTGAAATGCGAGGAGGGGAGCAGATGTTAGCGATAGGTAGGGTCAAGGCCGATCCTTTTGTAATGATTTTTTCCATTATACTGTTTGAATCGATGTCTCTAATAAATCGCCCGAAAGGGTATGGTATGGTGTCCATCTTCATATGAACTATACAAGAAGCCTGAAATGGAACCCGAATGCCAGCATCCAAGGATGATCCAGATATCCATGAAAGGCGAAGCAGATAGCACAAGACAATTCATTACTTCAGGCACATATGCCAAACTTATCGTAACATCGTAATTATTTTTCTTTATCTCAAGGCACCGCGGGGTGCAACTTGCGTTGCCAAGGACTGCAACGGCATTATCACCTTTTGATTGTCCCAGCAATCACACGCCACTGTAGCCAGACATCCCTGGATGCTGCTCCGGATTAGCACTCCCTGGAGGGGCTCCAACCCCAAACCCCATCGTTGGGGTTGGTCGAGAGCTATTCTCGGCTCCCGATGTCTGCCCAACGTTGGCGTAATGGTTTCCGAACCGCATGTCGGGTTCTCTCCCAGTCATACCAGGGTTCCATCCTGGTACCCAATGGTCCATTCCAAAGGTCATGGCGCTCGATTCACGAGACCACCAGTCTTGGCTCTCTTCTACAAGATTTTCCGGCCCATCAAAGGGTGTTACAGGAGACGACGTCGTGGTTGCAGGAATGTTCTGCCCAGTGGTGAATGCGCGGATCTGTTCTTCGTCTGGGGCATACCAGACCTCCTGCTGGGCCACCGGAACGGGCTGGAACTGATTATAGGCGTTAGTTACGGGCCGGAGATACGTAGGCTCAGGAAGCCGGGTAGCGCCCTGCGCAAGCTGGACGTTCAATGACCGCTGCGCTGCACGCACAGCCGACACAGAAGGTGGTATTGGAGGTTCCATTGTGTGTGAAAATCCCAAGGACCCCACCGAAGGGGGTGGCGACTGCATCACAGGACCACCATGTTCATGTGAACCCATCGGTCTCCCAGCCTGTGGATAAAGCACATTGCTTGGATCTGCAACCGGATAATGCATGGTTGGAGCTGGCGGTGACTCCTCGGAAGGCGGAGGAGATATCGCTTGATCCCATGAGCCCCAAGATCCCCATTTGGCATGTGTTTGTTCAAAGGTGGCTGTAGCCTCTGCCGGCAGTTCGACATGCCACTTGTTGGCAGAAATCTCTAGAATCCTGAGGGTGCGCCGTGCGCAGAGCCAACTCTCACCCATCTCTTCGAGATGCCGCAGGCCATGTATGACATCTCGCTGAGCATTCTTCTCTGGAAGATTGAGAAGATGTACAGTCAACGCGGTATGGGCAATGTAGACTGCAATGTTGCAGATTTGCTTAAACCCGTAGGTCCGTTTATACATCCTCAGCAACTTTGAGATTGCAGAAGCAGCCTGTGTGCACAATTTCCGGGGAGACACATGTTGGGGAAGCGGAGAATTGACTTTGGAGTATTTGAGGAAAGGTCGATAAAGGTGTATGAGAAGGAGCTGGTAGAACATACTTTTGGTCTGTCAGTGATACACCTTAATGCGACAGCAGCCATCACCATGAAACTTACTGCATTAGAAGTGCCTGAGGAAGCTGCCCCTCTTGTGGTCTGAGTTCCTTTGGTAGATCCTTCTTCCAGGCTTCAAGCCTTGTATGCAGATCGCTGAGTTTCTTGAGTTCTGCCTGCTTAGTGGTAGGTTTCTCCTTTGGGGTCGGGTCGTAGAAGAATACAAGCAGGTCGCCATTGATCTCGCACAGCCGGAAGATCTGAGAGGCAACGGCTCGAATCCGCGAGGGTTGAGTGTGCTCACGACCTACTCCCGTATCCATGTATGGGGACCATAATTCAGCTTCCTCGTTAGGCAATATATCCACTTTCGGGACGCTAATGCTAGATCCCGCCAACTGAGGCTGGCGACCGAGATAATTAGACCAGCACCTGCGAATGTTAGAGCTCATCAAAGATCCCCTAAGAGACAATATGGTCACGTACTTATCGAACAGAAAGCAACCCCAGAATGTTATCCGGCGTGCATCCACTTCTTCTTCGCCCAGATCCCGCGCCCCGAGGCTGGTCGAGTCAAAGTTGAGGCCCAAATCGAAGGCCATCCGAAAGCTCATCCCGCTGTAGACCCAGCCCTTGCTCTCGCGGCCACAGCCCGCTTCACGCACCGACAGCAGAGCCAGCGCTTGTACGGTGCATAGCTTTGCATTCGCGTGTTCATCGTTCTCGAAGAATAGCCTTTTGGCCTCTTTGAAGAAATGATCGCCCGCCGTGGCAGAATTCTCTGGATCCTCCCGAGCGCCTTCCCAGGAGCTGAAATGACAACCCAGGGCTAGCATTGCATTGACGAGCAAAGTCGAGCAATACTGGCTGGGCACCCCGCGTATATAGTCCCGATAAAATGAATCCTTAGAAAGGGTCGTGAAGAACGGGTAATGCCAGGTAAAATACATTGTCATGAGATGACTGATCAGTCTCTCATCCTGGGTAACACGGGTCCACCGTGTGACGGAATAATCACCATGGCCCTGATCCGACTCCTGGGCACCTAGGGATGATCTAAATTCATTCAGCTCTGATCCGGGAGGCAGAAAGATGAGGTTCGACGTGCCCCCAATGAATTTGCGGGAGCCGTCCAAGACAAGTTCACTCATCTTCCCCGCTAACTCCGACTCGAACTGGTCAGTCTGCGTTAGGGCTTCATCTCCACTAGCTCCTGTGTCCTCAGGGCCCGCCGTGGAACCTCTCCCTTGACCGAGGATCGATTGTGCGACATCTTCGAGATTATCGCACGACCGAATCTGGCGAACCAAGTCGAATGCATCCTCCTCCTCGTAGTTCAATAAGGCTTGTATCAACGTCAACAATGTTGTGTTTTTCGTTCTCAACGCGTCGGTATCCTTCTTGTATACACCTTTTCTGCGATGGTCGGAATTCGGATCGTAGACGCCTAGCGTATTGTGAGCCTCTATCTTTTGATACCAGCATGAAAGGCAGTACTATACAGGCTGTGTGATAGACAGAGGAACAGGCTGCGCAACTCGGTAGATTTCCATCGCACTAGACCACACCATCAGCTACAAAGAGCATGTACAGCGGTAGGGTCGGTCGTACCTTGGATTTCCTCCTGCGGCAGGCGATACACGCCGTACTGACACAACGTCTTTTCGAAGCTGGGCCATTGTCCGATTTTGTAGCTTGAGTTCTGGTCGAAGCTTTCCCTCGAGAGCCTGTCAGGGTGGGCGTGTCGTCCATCTCTTGCGACTTCTCCGCGGAGCTGTCTTCCATCGCTGTCAGGTCCACCCAGGAGTGTTCGGAGAAAGCGTCACAACAGGGCGAAGCATGCTTCTCGAGGGGGGAAAGAGCGGGTCGGGCTGCTGGAGAGGGAACCCAGAAGGCCCCTGCACAAAATGGGTGGAGGGGAACTGCGGGTCGAGGGTACCGGCATAAGCTCGACAGCAAAAGAGCGAATCTGAGGCCGTGGTAGAGGCATTAGTTAGGCAAGCGCGCAGGAGCTAGGACGGTACTATTGGCAAAGTCGCAGAAGGAGCTAGTGCAGAGGGAGGATGAAGTGTTGCGCAATCGGCAATCGGAGGATGTCAGGAAGTCGAGAGATGCATGTTGGGCGACTCACAAATCAGTCCAGTCAGTCAAGCCGAGATCTGCCCACAAAATGAATTAGGCTACCCCGCGACGTGCAGGAATGGGTTGACGAAATGACCCGCAAGTGGAGGCGACGGATTGCTCTGGGTAGAAGATGGAACCGGGGAGGGGGTTTGTACGGGGTAAAGCAATGAGCATAGAATGAATTAAAATCGACGGAGGATGATAAGAGGAGATGATCTGGACGGAATGATTGGACAATGCTGGAGGGGGGGTTAAGTAAAAGGGAAGAGATAGCGAGTCTGTGCAACTGCGCGCCGGCAGCTCGACGATCTGGCCCGGTTGGTTGGGATGTGCGGCGATAAGAAACGGTGGATGACTAATGCGCCCTTCCAGAGTCAACTTTATAACTATTGTAGCAGTTAACTATGAAAGAGGGTACTGTGGAAACATGAACGTCAGTTAGGTATCGGGCCATATTATAGTGATGTTGAACAGACCATGTTGGATACTTGGTTATCTTTTAATCTTCGTCCATCTTAGAGTTTTGCGTGGAAACGACTAGTACTTCCCAGTGGTGTTCATATCTGCAAGATAGTCAAGATACCTTATGCTTTCTTTTTTCTTTGTTCTGCCTATCCGACATATCTTATTGGAAGTAAGAATGACATCCCGCTGTCGAAGGAATGATTTGGATCGTTTCCGGTCGGCACCATCGCAGTTGTGTCACATGGCCCTCCATGCTTCATAATACAATCTGACCAGTTACAAGTAGTTGGTTACAAAGTACTGCTGGTTGGTTATTACTGAAAGAGGTTTAGTGTATGTGCCTGATCTATGAGGTCGGGATTTGGCCTATCTACTATCTATCTACTACGTAGCCATATGTTTCATCATCACTCCATGCGCTCCATCCTACGGATAGGCTAACCGGATTTACACATCATAGAATCCTTTTCGCTTCCAGAATGCCATGCAGCGTCTCAAGACATCGATGGTAAATGGTTTATACTGTGCCTCAGGGCAACCGGCAAGGGCACGAACAGTATTCGTGCATTCATATACTGGCGAAAACTGAGCGCATTCCCAGCGCGTCAATTTTCCAAGCACTCGCTCCTGTAGGACGGGCATCAGCGGCGCGAGTGAGCCTTCCGACGTGCCTGACTTGACTGCCTGCTCCACCCAGTCGCTGTAATCAATCATCCGCACGGGATACCCGGCTTCGTGGAGGAGAGTGATGGTATCCTCAACGGTCAAGCACTTGGTCCGGTCGGGGGACAAGATGTGGTAGGCTTGACCAAGATTTCTGTTCTCTGACGCAATCTGGAGCACCGAGGAGCAGACAAAGTCGATCGTGCAATATTCGAACCGCATGTCAACTATTCGCGGGAAGGTCCCCATCTCGATGCACCCGACAATCCATCGCGTGATAAAGTCATAAGGGTTACTGGCGCCAGTGACTCTATCTCCAATAATAAAGCCGGGACGGTAGATGGCGATCGGAAGGCCCTTTTCCTGCATACGACACACCATCGCCTCGGCGGTTCACTGGCTCTGTCCGTACCCAAGGTCGTATCGCAAGGCAGGCAGGTGATTTATCAGTGGACTGTCTTCGGGGATGCTTCGCGTGCCTAGAATCATGCCCGATGGGCCGAAGACATCGATACTCGACATGTAATGTTAAATGGAACGCCTTGCGGCGACCGAGCGCTGCAGCGTTCAAAACGTTCCGTGTCCCTTTGACGTTGTCGCGGTGATGTTCCTGGTAAGACTCGCAGAAGTTGACCTTGGCTGCACCGTGGAAGATCACACTGGCCCAATTGACCAGCCAATTAAACTGCGTGGATCCAAGCCCAAGCTGCTCGTCGCCAATGTCTTCCTCCAGAACCAAGATCTTCTGGGGGAGCTCCAAGGAGTCGGGAAACAAACAGTATTTCTCCATGGCCTTCTGCACTCTAGCAACGGCGCTTTGACCGTTCCTAGCTTGAGCAAGGCACGCGATTTGCTTCACACCCGGCCTCTCAATGAGTGGGCGGAGGATATGCGCTCCCACGAATCCAGTCGCACCCGTGAGGAAAATGCGTCCTTCTGCTGCCGATTCCCAGTCTGGAGCGAGTGGAATGTCATCGACAATATCAAGTCGTTCGCCCAAATACTAGTATGATCTGGGGCGTTCTTGTGTCTATCTTCTACGGGCGCCTGCCCGGCGTCAAGAAAATCACACAAACTTGAGAAGCGGGAATGCGCATGTAGCTCATCCATGGTAATCAGGCTTTCCAGCCGATGTTGTATGAGAGCTATCAGAGCCGCCGCCTGAATGGACGAGGCACCTAAGAGAAAGAAATCTTGCTCGGGCTTGGGGCGGGACACTTGAAGTAGCTCCTCCCATATTCTCGCCAGAACAGACCTCGTGTCCTTGCCGTTGGTGCTGATACATGTGCCATTAAAGACGTTCCGCTTCCCTCCAGCCTCGCCTTCACGTGAGCCTTGTGCATAACTGTCCAGAAGAGCCTGGCGGTCGAACTTACCATTTGCCGTCAAAGGAAAGGTCATGATTCGTTCAAATGGCTCCGGGATCATGTAGGACGGCAGGGTTTCCTGTGCAAATCGAAAGATGGCGTCTTGATTCTGCTTATTGCCGCCACTGGGGATGATATACGCGACTAAGATAGCCGAGTGGAGAACCGAAGAACCGACAAGGGTAGTCTTTGCATGACCACACAAGATTTCACAAGTGGGTTCGACTCCGTAATTCGCGAAATTTCCTCAAGTTCGACGAGAAATCCTTGATGCTTGACCTGTGTATCGCGACGACCGATGTAGTCAAGGAATTCTGGTTTATCCCGTCGCCACTGGCCGATGTCACCAATCCGATACAGTTCGACAATTGAACTACCAGCGACAGTCGTGCCGTCAATTATACCTGGGCCTTTTGTGTGCCGGTTTGAAATAAGTATTTTGATAAATCTTTCCTCATTCTCACGGCTCCGGTGGAGATAGCCAGCTGACTTTCCCGGCCCGCCAATACATAGTTCGCCATGGATGCCACTTTCCTCGATAGGCTCCAGGTTATCGTCTAGCAGATAAACAATTGCTTTTCCAATGGGCTGGCCAATGCTGATGCGGTCTCCCAGGCAGTCCGACAAGGTTACCCTGTACATGGTCAGGGTAGTCCCCTCGGTAGGACCGTATCCATTCCACAGGTTTTCTGGAGGTTCCTTCTCAAGGACAGATCGCAGCGCTCGTGGATTCGCTGCCTCGCCAGCTGTTATCGCATGGTGCAAAGCACAAAATGCATTGGGGGCTGTTGACGCAATTACATTGAAGAGGGCCGTTGGGATGATCATCACGCTCGCTCGGGTGTCAGTCAAAAAGGCAGGAAGACGGCTTGGGTCGGTTGCGACTCCCTTTGGCAGGACCACGATAGTCCCCCGGGCTATCAGCGTAGCCCACATCTCAAACAGACTCAGATCGAAACCAGGATTGTTGAATGCGGTCACGCGATCGGTATGTGACAGCGGAGTCATGTTGTTCTTCATTGCCAGATGGAGGATGCTGCTTGTCTGGATCTGAACGGGTTTCGGCTTTCCCGTAGACCCCGATGTGAAAAGAATGTGACTGCGTCCATCCTCTTTCTGGAGACAGTCTTTCTGGGTAACCAGGTGACTATCGTGGCGGAATAGCGCCGGTTCGAGGTGTCCCATCGGGTAAAGGTCGAAGCCTTGATACCTGTTGGTAGACAAATCCTCAATGATCACTCGTCTGACGGCAACATCACGTAACAATTCATAGATCCGCTTCGGTGGCTGGTTAGGCTCGAAAGGGACGCATGATGCACCGACGAGACGGACGGCCACTTGGGCCACCACTTGACTCAGGCCAGGGCTGAGGAGAATGCCGACGGGCTCTTCCGCCTCAACCTTGTCTTTCAGCTGAAGCCTGTCCGCCAGACATGTGGCACGGGCTAGCAGTATCCCATACGTGAGGGCTGGAGGCCCGTCCAGCACGGCCATAGCGTCTGGATGCTCTTGAGCATGTTGCGCCAGAACTCTTTCCATCATGGTCTAGCAAACCATTGTGGAATTCACCGTTCGAATTGGACTCTTGTCTTAGCGAAAACTTGGCTCCAGTTCAGTATATAGGGACGGTATCTGAACTGAGCAGCTACATGTAAATGGAGGGTCTGATGAAATATGTATTGATTGACAATCAAATGTCTCGATGCTTTCATTTGTGGTTTCTTCCTACGGGCAAACAAGAAAGCAGCAAGGCAAGTACTTGTCATAAATCCACGGCACCCTCCAAACGGCATCGCCGTTCAATACGTACTCCGCTGAAGTCGCTCGGGGTTTCTATCTCTACGGCAGTCCAACATCAACCTCGCGATTCCGCGGTCAACTGCCATGTTCGGAACGACAGCGACCCGATTGCCGTCCCATGCGTGGACGACGGGTGGCTGAGATCATCACTGGTCGCGACAAGGTGATGTAGTCGACAAGAATCTGTCACTGCAACTCGCCGGATCCAGCAGGTGGACGAACCTTTGACTTTCACGTCGTCACGAAGGCCGTCCTTCTGGCAATCTACTGGCCCGCGCATGCTGATCAATGAAGGTTTACTCCACAAGAGAATAAGAGATCCGGTGCAAGGTGACAAGAAGATAAAAGCCGTCCAAAGGAGCATGGCAATCAGTCGATCATTGTGTATAATCTGATCTCAGATGTGAGTCAATGCATATGCATAACCATCATCAGATGAGTGGGTCTGATAGCTAGATCGATATGTCATGTGGCTATATTGTTGAAAAGAGGAATCATTGATATCATAGCATTCCATGTAAAGTTTGACCAAGGACTGACAGAGAATTTTTCATTTGCTGTCCATGCCACCTGTACCCCATATTGCGAATGAACTCCATTGGGGAGCGAGAACTAGGGTTTGGGTCCTATCCCGCAAGCGTCGGCCGGACGTTTGTCACTCATGGGTTTGAGCATTTCCTATTCAAGATGCACACTGGGTGCTACCCACCATATGCCAGCCAGTGTCGTTTTGTGTGTCCAGATCGACGTGCCCTAAGGACAGCAAGAACACACATTACCATGGATAGGAACAAGTCCCAGACTTCCATGCTTTGACTTATAAAGTCTCGCCGACAAACTTCATCGACAAATCAACCGCCCTTTCACGCTTGGCTTCACCTTCCTGCGAATCAGTGGAAGAAACGCTATACCTGAACTCACACGATGCAGCTCTCGCTCTCATTGACTGCGGTACTGCAGTCGGGCATCGCCAAGCGACGACAGCAAGGCCAATACTTTGAAATGAGCCCCCCCTGCCATCGAATTGGGCATGGTTGACTTCGGGTCCAACGACACGCTAGGTCTCCGATCCAGTCCCGCCATGCACGAAATTTTTCACAGTGAATTAAAAAGAGCCCTGAGTTCGTTATCGGAGCTGGCGCAAGCCGATGCTTCGGTGGTTCCACCAAAGAGGTCACCAAACTGGAGAGACTACTAGCCGACTTCCACCACGGCAAAGAGGCTATGTTCTTCAACTCAGGATACGAAGCCAACGTTGGCGTATATAGCACCTTGCCTCAACCCGGGGATGCCATTATCCACGACACCATGGCCCATGCGAGCATCCATGATGGGATCCGTTATGGCCGCGCGTCCATCGTAAAAGCTTTTGCACATAATGATCTCCAGTCGCTAGACGCTGTGCTTGAGAAGGTTAAGCTCGGCTCGGCCGATATTAGCTGCGGGAGACGAACGGTGTTTGTGGCTCTAGAGTCGTATTACAGTATGGAAGGGGATATCTCGCCCATCCCGGAGATTCTCTCGCATGTTAGAAGTGCTCTACCGGCCGGCAATGGAGTTCTCATAGTTGGTGAGGCTCACTTGGGTATAGTTGGACCCAACGGCTCTGGATACATGTCACTTGGGACTGGAGAAGGAAGTCATTATTTTGATGCAGAGCTATGGCAAAGGCCCTGGCCCCTTGGGTGGTATGTACCCTTCAATTTCCTGCCTCCATCACTGGCTAGCTTAACGTGCACCATGTGTGGTGCATATGCAATCTTTGATCAAAGAATACATAGCCAACTTCGCCCGAGGCCTGATGTACTCGACCGGGCCTTCCTTCCCCACAGTCGCCGCCATCAGAGCTTCGATCGCCACCCTCAGCAGCACAGACAGGGAGCAGTTAAGAACGCTAGCCATCAGAGCCCTCCAATGTATATCATAAGTCTACATAGTGGTCACCATAATTAGCGCCGTCAGAGACTCCGCGCAAACATCATGCTCTTCTACCAGCTCATCCTCATGCATCCAAGGCGACAAGCTCTATCTAAGTCCGGGATTTCAAAGTTCCCCTCCATTAAGCACAAAAAAAAAGAGAAGCATTCGTGGCCATCATCCCCATCATTACCAAGCAAGGACAATGCCATAAGCTACAGCAGAGACTGCAGGTATACGGGTTCCGTACCCATGCAGTCCGATACCCTGCCGTCCCAGAGGAGGAGCGTGTCCGCTTGATGCTGCACGCAGATAACAAGCCGGACGAGATCAAAGGCTTTGCGCGAGTGTTGATGGAATGGGGCTGGGAAATCATGCAGGTTGGGCCCAGGCCGGAGACTCGACTGTAATTGGGCAGGACAGATGGCTCGTGTACAAATGTTGGTTCGGGATGGTAGGTTATTACGCTCCTTGGTATAGTGCACAGATCACACAACATCACTGCACATAGTCACTGCTGCTCAACACAAGCGATGAGACTCAGCGTCAGGACGGGTCAAGTTCTCATCTATGGGGACCATGTCGATAATGTCCCCAATAGATCAATTCCGGCAGATGCTCTTTCTAAGCCACATGATATGTTTCTAGAACGCAAGGCGAGCCGAGGAGAAGGGCAGATCGTTCACAAATCGTTCGAATCATCATCAGTCGTAGTCGTAGCAAGGGAGCAGACAGGTCCGACTCGGAAGGAAACTCCCTCCTGTACTCGTGGATGAGCCTGTCTTCCAAGTCGTTAGAAAGGGATATCGCCAAGAAGTAAGCAGCATTACTGTTTGATCACTCCTTTTCTCCTGTATTAGTAGAAATATGTTAGTTTCGCTCGAATTGCTCCCTCCAATGACTAAGGATATATAGCAGCATGAATTGGACCGAGCAGCTGTCTCGTCCGTATCTGGTATGGTTATCACTGCACGTATCTGCAGATAGCCTGAGGTTGCTTTTTGCTGGGCTCAGTAAAACCGGGCCCCTAGAACAAACGATAATGACATTCTAGTAGATATCCAGTGGGCATAATCCCATGACCTTCGAGTTCCAGCCACCGGGTTTGTTTGGCCGACTTGCTGGAGGCCTTGCATAAGTCCACTGCTTTGTACAATGACAAGAACGGCCAGAATCAGATGAGTCATCTTGCTTTACTGCTCATTGATCAACCGTAGACAGATTGAATAGAAGAGGTAAATGTTGACATTCCCAAGGGACACTTTCTGCGCTTTACCGCTTCTTTCCAGCCGCATATATGGTCTTGGCTTGATGCTGTTCTCAAAAAGTAGACGAGACATTGGTCCTCGGCAGAGTGTGCGTGTATCGGGGAGACTCCGCAAGCGTCCTCCGTGCTTGACCCAATGAAGCCCAAGCAAATGCGATCCTCGGCGCCAAGCCTTGCTGATCGTCTGGAGGATCCCGGATTATTAATCACCGGAAAAACAGAATGTTGGAACCTCTTTAGGGAAGAAATCGATATCTGCAGGCAGTCAGCCAGGCACAAGGCTGTCCCCGTCCTACTGTGTATGGTACTTTGGTGATACCCGGCGAAATCAATGTTTACCAGTATTTCACGGGACAGTCAGTCAGTATGTTTGCATGGAGAGGGAAACGGACAAATGTTCCTTTGTTCCGACAGCATTTCCGAGGAAATGACACCCACCCCACGAAGATCAATATGGGTGGTTGGTGGTTGGGCAGACACACAAAAGTCCGACCACCCCCATCTCCCATAATAATAATGATGCTAATCGGTGATGGTAATTGCGAACCACCAAAGTTACGGTGTGACGGGGGAGAAGTACGTAACACTCGGTAACATGGAACATTCTTTAGTGGGGAAGGAGACATTCTGCCGCTACCTCTTTGGGACACTGGCGGTTCCAGAAGTTACCGTGAGCCGAGGTGATACACGGTTGTTACCACGCTAGAACAATTCAGGGTCACACGGTGGGCGTTGGGCAGACTGCTGCGGTGTACGAGGGATGTTCCGGGAGTCGGCACCCGCCCTTACCGCCTGAAACCAACCAACCCCCATTTGGCGCCTCACTGTTAGGTACTGGGGCTAAACTGTTTGGGGGGACTACAGGCGACGAAGGCGCTAATGCTGTTCGATGCGGTCAGGCGCCTGCAATCTTTCTGTTATGCGATCAATATTACCTTTGCAGTCTAGTGGACTCCGCCGGGACCCGATGTTACGGACAAACCGTCATCCACCCACGTAACTAGTACTGGTTCAGCAGAGGTTAAGATTTATTGTTACCGTCACTTTCTCTTTTAGTGTGTTTCCCCGTTATCTGCCTTTTCTGGATTTCCTGGTTTGAGATCATTACTACACAGTTATTCCCTTTGCCGCTGACTGTCCTGGCTTGGCTTGGCTCTTCCTTATCCTCTCCCTCTCTCTCTCTCCCTACTTTTCGGTTCCTCTGAATCTTCTCCCTTGTCTACTCTCTTTTCAACCTCTTCGTCTTCGTCGTCTCCCTATTCTTCTCTCTGGACTCGTTCCGGTGGACATCTGCTTCACTTTCCGTCCCCATCTCTCTCGCCGTCTGCAATAGTCGCGTGCCTGCATACGGACCCAGCCGTCTTCCGCTTTTGGCATCTTCCGCTCGGCTGGGTCTCTGGCCAGTGCCAACACAGCAAGTGTGTTGTTGCTAATAGCCGATCTGCTCAAACTACTACTAGTACTAGCCTATATCTATCAGATATACTCCCACTGGGGAACCGCCCACTGGACGTTCCCCTCCCTCCTCTTCTGCTCTCGTGCTCTCTTCCCATCCATGTATCTCGTTCAGACTCTCGACCAGAGCGCCTCGACGGGCCTAGGACGCCTTATTAAACAGTTTTCCTCTGGATCTAAATTGTGAAGATGATGGTCCCAAGAGCTTATCTTTTCAGTTCCCTACCTCCGTCTCCGAAGACTTCTCTCCGTCAACATGGTGAGAGAACTCCAGTCACAAAGTCCTCCCTGGATCTTCTCCCCGTCCAAGACTTTGCGAGTCTCGAATTCCCATCCGACTCTTCTCCGCAGACCATGCACACCAGTCCGGTTGTGATACCCCCGAAGCGGGCTCCTCGCGTGACCTCGGTACATTCGCAGACCGCAAAGAAAGGGCCAGCCACGCCGAAGAAGTCTAGAACGGTGTCTCACAAGTCGTCGTCGGCCACTTTGACTGACCGGTCCGTGCCAAGTTCGATTGCGTCGATTCTGGAAGCCACGGCGATCCCCGTGCCTCGCCGGGGCTGGACTGTTCGAGAGTCTCGCAACCGCAGAAAACTGCCGCGTGTGGATCATGTGCAGCAATTCAGCAAGCTGTTGATGGACGGTGTAGGCGATAATTCGATGGAGAGCACGGGCAACACAGTGCTGGATCTACTTCTGAGTCCCCCGGATGAGGTCGACAAGTCTACAGTTGGGAGTGATTGTGACAGTGAGGCGCCGTCTTTCTCCGCTTGCTCTATGTCCCTTGAGTCGACGCCGTCGTTGGAGCGCGACTACGACTCACCGTCCAGTCTTCCGGCACCGTCTACGCCGTCAAGCCAGCGGAGCCCGTTAGAGCGAAAGTTTCACCGCCAATCACCTTGTGAGAACTGCATCTTCGACCACCCTTTGCTAGACAACGAAGTGTCGGACACGGAAGAGGATTTTGTCGAGCAGGCCTCATTGCCCGATCTGACCCCAAAGAGCCCGACACCGTCTCGAACGTTCCCGCGGTTAGGATCCACATTTAAATCTAACCTAACGGCTTCTTTGCGAGCAATCAAATCTGCTGCGCAGAGTGTCTCGGCCTTTGCTACTCCTTCCGTTCAGCCGGACGACTTTCTGACCCGGTCGCTCTTCACGATCACGCCGGAGATGACGGACGACCGACGGCCTCCGCCCATGAACGAGCCGCCATCTCCCGCACTCCGACGGTACCTGAATCCAATAACGGTCTCACCAGCGGAGATGTATGCTTATCAGGAATACCCACACGAGTCCCTTGATAGCCCCAACTGCCCTGTTTCCGTGCAAATGCAAACGTACCATCGCTCGGGTAGGCGCGGCAGTCGCAGGAGCGGGTTCCATCTGGCACGCTCCGAGGGCCGCGACCGACAGCTGCTACCATTCGACCCGGAGATCCCGCCCATGTCACGCCAGCGCGAGCCGCGGGAGAACAGTGATTTCCTGCGCATGGTAGTTCTCGAGATGAACATGCGACGCAGCGGCAAGCTTCGGGACGACGTTCCGACGCGGGCCCGAATCTGGCTGCCTCCCCGCAAGGGCAGTCAGGCCCGTTATGTTCGGTATGACTATTACGAGGATGAGGATGAGGACGAGAACGCAGTTCCCTCTCGTTGGGTCGGGATCTCTGTGAGCAGTCTGTAAAACAGTGCCGCTTCACCTCAACTTACTTTCTGCTTTACACACACTCAATGCGCACAGCGAGGCGCATGGATTCCGGACTTGGCTATTCTTTTTACTTTGCTTTTCTTGTACATATTTTTGCATAGATATTGGAGGCGTTCCCCTTTGGGTTAAAGGGGCATAGCGAGGCGTTTGGGAAGGGGGGAGCACCACCTATTCATTTGGAATATTGCTAGAATACACCTGGCTGGCTTTAGGTAGAACAATTGCTACTATCATTTACTTTGGATATCATCTACAGACACCGCTTATGTGCGGGACAAGCCGAACACTGACAGTGAAACAAGTTGTTATCACCACCGAGTCGAAAGCGATAAGTGATAAGTAACGGAGTCCGGAGTACACTACAGCGACTAAGACTACTAATTCCGGATCGAACCAACTAACTAATGCAGCTACTAAGTAGTCCTTCTCTAGCGACCTACCTAATTCATCTAGCCCCAGGCTGTTTACCAGGCTACTCTACCCGTGCAGGACTGTCCCGATACGTGCTAGATTATTCTGTATTGGGCTTAGTTGGTTGGTCTTGATGCTTAAGTGCGCCTTACCGGAACGACCAAGTTCCGCTGTGATTAGATCATCGTGATTTGATTTGGTTTGTATATTCTATCGCTAATAGAATAGCTCTTATTTACGAAGATGTTTCAATACATTTGTAATGAGTTAATGTCAAGACAGGAGATGATCATAATGAAAGCATGCGAATGACAGAAAGTTTATTTCAAGTTGTTGTTGGGTATCACGCGAGCCAAGGCGCATTACTCCGTGCTACTATTATATTATTTCTAGGATAAGATAATATTAATAGTATTATTATTTTTTCTTGTTTTTTTTTCTCCTGTTTGTGTTGTCCCCTGATCCCCGAGCCCAACCGCTGCATGTCACTTATGTCGTGTGTTGTGTGTCATTAGGCAGGGGGAGACTGTCCTGTCTGCCAGGAATTTGAACTTTAGGTAGTTATTTTCGAAGAGTCCAAAATCATTCCCCGAATTAATTTAGATAACCAAGACAAGGGTAATTTATGCTTTAACCTTCACTTCCCCCCAAGACGAGACAAGACAAGACAAGACAAGAAATTAATACGATCTGATCTACAACCCTAGAATAACTACTGGTTGAGTTATTGTTCCACCCCACGGTCAATAGGAAAAATAAACTCAACACGCGGAGGTTAAATAATGGCCTGATGACGCCATGACAGGTGGGATAGAGTTCACGCCTATTGTCATCACTTGTTCGCATTTATCCATTCATGTTGGGGTATTTATGTATGTACTGTATGTATGTAAGATACTCCCGTTCGTATGTTATGTTATGTTTGTATATCTATTTCAGCCTATTCATCGATACAGGGTAGGTATAATACAAATTAAGAGAGCTTGGAATAGGAGGGACCCAATTTCAATACGAATCCAGGTCTGCTTGTAAACTGGGTATGGCTGGTGATGGATGACACCGTGCAGGGTTTCCCTTATCTCTGTCCAATGGGGATTCGATATTCCCAGGACTCTTTCAATATGATGTCTCAGCCATCAGTGTTAGGTTTCATTCCTTAACTATGGATTGCCTGACTGACTTGGTCGGATTGGGAGTTAGACTAGTCTGTTGGTGGTTTGTTAGTTAGTCGAGTTGGCGGTAAAATACTAGTAGTAGGGAGTAGCTTGTGGCTAGATACGGGGCTAGATTGCAGGGGCTGAACTGGATTGGTTCTGGTTTCTTTCATGAATGATGGGTGTATGATTTTAATACTAGTAGTTCTACAAAGTAATATCGTATCCAATCCATGCGATTGATTTGGATGAAATAGTGGCATTTATGTCCCTTTTGAATGGGCGTGTATTCTCCCGATCCGCGAAGTTTAAGGGATGCTACCATAGATAGAACCGGAAATGATTCTTAACCCACGACAAATGGCAGAGACGGATTCCAAATATGTATGTATTGGTATATGAGATCTCAAGATGGTGGTTGGTTGGTGGTAAAAGGTCATTGTCAGAATCCGCTCCTAGTGTGCTTTAATATTGAATCTTCCGGATTCAGTATCGGTAGGCTATTCGGTAGATAACTAGAAACGTGAGTCAACAGACTCAGAAAGCGCATTCCTTGTAAGCTTAGAAGAGAGAATGTGGGATTGACCGGATCCTCTCAGTGGTGGTAGTGGTCAGAGACCTCGTAGGTAGAGACGATAGAGGATCAGGTAATGCCTGGCTATTATGAGTGTCTCAACATCTCACATTCTGCAAAGCTATATGAGGATAGAGAGTATGATATCCTTTTGAATGATATACGAGATAGTACAGAGTATCTAGTATGGGAAAACTACTAACGAGAAATGAAGAGTGAATCAGCAGCATATGGTCACTATATTGTACGACTGATATATTCTTCCGCTCCGTTATCTGCCTTCCACTTGACGGCAGTGACCCACATCGTCGCTCGCTGCTTATCACTACTGGATTAGTTACTACTACTAGTAGTATCATCGCTACATGTATACTTGCAACCATTGATCTCATTAGCACCCTTGCACACGAATAAATTATTTCTGTCTTATCTGTCTAGCAAGAAGCTACATCAATGTTTTATCGTGCGGCTTACCGTTTCCCCACTACCTTGTACAGGACCAGACGATCGCCTTCAGCTCGGTATTTGCATCAAGTTACAGCAGACTTTTAGAACTACGACTCAAAAGGGAATCTAGTCACTGAAAAGGTCCCTGTCATCGCCGGTGATCCGGGAGAAACCTACCTTCTGGTGTATCCAGAAGTCGGCAGTGCTTTCCGTGCTGCTGCAAAGAAAATACATATCTCTGCGCCTGTTGCGGACGTTATACCAACATGCAAACTGATGTTCTTCCATGAATCGCAACATTTTGGGTATGGTAAGCAGTTCTCTGTCATTCCAGTCAATATATATCCTGTTTTTACGTATTTGCTCATGAATCGATATCAGAGTCGCCCAGTTATCCCCGCCTCTACGCCCCAACGCACATCTCACGCCAAACGGAGTCAAGTATATCCCCTGCGACTTTGTTTCTGGATGGGAAAATGCATGAGTTTGTCCTAGATGGGACTGCAGATGGTATATAAATGCATCACATGTTTATGATCGGATAAACTCTAAAACTGACATAGCTCAATTTGCTTATCATGCTAGCGCTAGTGCACAGAATCTCAAACACGTCTTGGAACAGTTGAAAGACGTGTGAAAGGCTACTTACTTCTTTTCATTGCAAGCACATCTAATGCCCAAGTCCTATCTTTGATCATTACTCATGACTATAGGCATGTTTCGCACAAACCAGATCATATCTTAATGACGTTTGATACTAACTTTGATCATGCTGAAGAAACTATTCTAGCTGGATTGCTAGAGAGTAGATATCGAATCCCATCCGAAAATTTTCCAGATCTTATATTTCCATTGTCGCGTAAGGTAGGTTAAGTATGAGGTCTAGAT